AAATTGTATCAGCATGGGCCTTAAAAAAAACTCTATCAGTCTATCTCTAGTTGGTATGTAAGTATATTAATGCACATACTGTACCTTTCATAATAGCATCCAGAGATTCAGTGCATAGCTTCTAATCTTGTCTTGAAGGAAGTCATTTGTCAGTGGCACCGCAATGCTCAGATGTGGTCATACAGCACCGTCCTCTGATGCAGAAACAAAAAAGACATGGTTTAGAAAATGAAGTGTTTTGAGAGAAATGGCTTGTGTAGGGAGAGCACCTTCTCAGACGCTCAGAAATAGAAACTAAAGAAAAAAAAAACAGAAAGTAAGTGAAGCTTGGGGAGTTTTTAAGTTTTCAGCCTCTCAGATAGTGCATATAGCAGACTATTTCCAATGCAAAATATTAATACTGACAATCATGTATCAAAGTTATAGAGGAAATAATCTAATGCTGAAAACTGTATTTATTTATCTGCAGTACATCTTGTATATATGCTAATGGAGGCCTATTGCGTGTTTCAGATGAACTTTATTGATTCACAATGGAAATTACTGTATTATTATTTACCTCTAGGTCAGAACTTGGTTAATTCAGTTTGATTTACATTTGGTTTAGTTCTGTTGTAATCTCTGTGGCTCTAGTTCTTTAAGTCCTTGCTAAGTCCTGTTTTAGACCAAGTTCATTCCTGCTTTAACTAAAGAGGCTCTATGTAACTTTTCTTGTGGAAGGTCCCCACATAATTATGCCTTATTTCAGGTATGTCCAAACTATGGCCCGTGGACTAAATGCAGCCCTCAGACACATTTTTCTTGGCCCTCAGGCTTCCAGGTGAATTGGCCCAAATTACCTTGCATCAGTTAAAAATTTGCTTTTTACTGCAGTTTTTTTTTTTTTTTTTTTTAAATCTACCGTGATAAAGCTAATATTTAACATTTAGTGTGTGGTTTTACGGTTCTTAGCATGAATAAAGACTGATGGCTCATTTTAATGTGTTAAACATGCACATATTTCAATTATTCACTGTACTGAGCACCAGTCTACAGCCTTTGATCAGGCCTCTGCTTCGTCTGTGTTCAGATACGTGGTCCTTGATGAAAAAAGTTTGGATACCCCAGCCTTATTTGACATCTCTTATTTAGAATTTATTATTATTATTTATATTGTTTGCTCTTTGTTATTATAGTATTTTGTGATGTGTGAGCTACTATGCCCAAATAATTTCCCTTGTGAATCATAAAGTTTGTCTAAATCTAAGTCATCTGCTTGTCTCCATGGAGATGTTGTTGCTTTATCTGGAATGTTCCACAGTTTGGTATAAATGTATCTATCTATAGAGGTGCTACCAGGCTAAGTTACAAGTCAAATCTGTGGAGAGGTGTTTGCGATGGAAAGAGTGCATGTTATGTAGATACGTCAATGTCATACTGTGGAAAATGTGAAACTATCACAGTTGAATAGAGACGAGCAGGTGGAAGATCTCCTCAACTGAAAATAGTTACATAATCAAGAACTTTAACACAAATTGACTTGGTTAGATTAGACACAACTTTATTTTGAATTCATTAAACGGTGCATGGGGACAGACCTTCCACTAGAAATGTTACGCAGTGCACCTTTAACATAGACATTTGTTAGGCCAATTATTTTCTGTTACAGTCACACTTGGAGAGGTAAATATTTTCATCGCTTGCGTAAAAGGTTTCACACCACTCCAACTACAGCGCATTAAACAGCTTACATAATGAACAAATTTAAAACATAAAATCTGAGATACAGCACAGTAATTCTAGACCTGAGGAAGAACATTTTAAGTAATAATGAGAGTGAGAAAAGCAGTGCATTTAAGTGAAAACTACAATGAATAATATATGGTCAGAGCGCTCTTAAAAGCTTCGGGGGAGGAAAACGTGGAAAGTACATAAACAGAAGAGGAAGTCTGAGAAGGAAAGACAGATACCAGACGTGAAATTGTAAATGAACCTTGAATGTACAGGTGACTGCAGAATGAAGGGAGATTAGGTTTGTGCTTGGATGAACAATGCTCAGTGTAGAAGTCAGAACTACTTTGTGCTGCTGCATTGTCCACTGATTTGTATCAATAATGTTTAGAAGAAGATACATTGGCTCCACTATCTGTTATTTAAGGTAATTCCGGTACGGTAAGTCTAGTTTTGTTTATGTTACAGCACAAATGTAGGTATAAAGCTAAATACTATATGGAGGACAAATTACTTCAATGGAAAAAAAATAGATCAAAGCATTTCCAGCTGAAGGAACTAGAGATGTCAATCCACTGATCTGAAATGGTAGATATAGTAGGTAGGTACCAATTTTTTAAAGGTAACCATTTTTTAAAATAAATTTGACAGTTAGAAATGTCTTTATATGCATTTACTAGAAATAACATGTCTATTTGTGTGGTAAAATATAATTGTTTAACTGTAGTGTTTTAAAGTCTATTCAGTTTTTAATACCACAGTAAATTAGGGCTGACACATGTTAATCACAACTAATTGATTATTGAAATATTTTTTCTGAGCTAACAGACTCCAAAACAAAACAACATTTGTGTTTGTAATTAACAATCAGTTTTGTTGTAAATATACTCCATGAAGATGTACTCTACAGAGACATCTCTTTAGCTTCATCTAGGTCAAATTTATTGAAAACACATATTCATGGGCCTTTTGCAATCCAAGCAACTAATCGATTCATCAAAATAATAATTACCAGACTAATTGAATACAAAAATAAATGTTAGTTGCAGTCCTACAGTAAATAAAAATATAACTCATTACTGGATCTATGGTTCATCCAGAACATGCAGCTTAGGTACACCATACCTAGGTAACTCCAGGTAAAGCAGACCAATCCTAGCAAGAAGATAATTGAGATGGGTACGCGGGTGCCCCACATGCTGCCTGCTGCTGAAGATGCCAGCGGGCCAGAAGGATGGGTCAAATGCAGCGGACAAATTTCCCTGTGGGGACAATAAAGTACCTTTCTTTCCTTTCTTTCTATTGATGTAGTCCTCTAGTAAACTTCTGTGTTCTATATCATGTTCATATTATCACAAATGTATAATATACAGTATCTTACTGTGACCACAGAAGAAAGAGCATTTGAATAAAACATCTTAATTCATATTGTGTTTATTTCATCATGGTGTGTCATAAGGCTATATGCGATATTAAACATAAAATAGAAATAAATTGCTCTTTATGAAAGTTGTCAACAATATGCAGGTGGCTTCTTTGTTGTGTAAACAAAAAAATACACTTGCTTAACCCTACGATGATAGTGTGAGTTAAAATGTGTTGTGTTTAACCTAATGAAGGCACCAGAGTACATGTAGGCCTACAGTATTATCAAAGAAGGAGTCAATGGGCAGAAGTCATCTGGAAATATCCAGAAAATATGATTTGAGTTGGAAGTCCATTCAGACATGCAGGTCATACTTCTATCTGCTCCACATAACTTCTCCATTGCACCTGTCTCCACATCCTCCCCGCTTCTCCTCACCCCCCCTCCCGTCTCCTGTCGGCACAGCAACATGCATGCTCTCACCCCGAAAGTGATTGTACCTGATTTATTTGACAGGCCTTTAACCTGCCGTGTGCTTGTCCATCAGCATCAGGGAGAATGCACCCAAGGGCGTGAGGGAGCAGGACCCAGGCTGCTGTCTCTCTCTCTCTGTCATTCAATGGCTGCAACCTCAGAGTCCAACGTACTCCAGCAAATCATGTTTATTTTCGGTCCTGTGCAGAGAAGGCAGAGGAGGCAGTCAGGCTGGGTCAGGGGTGTTAGGGTCACATAAATTCCAAAATACACTATACACAGCTTTTATCCAAATAAGAAAAGACATATTTTTTCCCCTGGGTTAAAAATTACTAATAGAAAATGTAGAGTTGTTACCAGTTCTAGATTTTTTTACACTATACACATTGTGAATAATAAAACAAAAATCTCATTACAGATTTAAAATAAATGCATGCAAAACACTAAACATAATAATTTCTAAAAGGATTATAAAATCTTATTGAAAAGTACAACATCGCCACCTGCAGTTAGTCAGTGGCCATGCAAGAAATTGATCCCTAGTGCAGTTGCGCCCTCTTGTGGCTTCGATGATATGACAGAATTAAATTAAAATAAGCTTCGTAAATTCATTGTATTTTTGACGCTGTATAAATGCACGTCCAAATTACTGAGCCTCTTAAAGAAGAAAGAAGGAAAAAAGGAAGAAAATAATGCGTTTTACTTTGGATGTTGAAGATTTGCAAAGAAAAAAAAAAAAAAAAAAAAAACTGTTTTAGAATCGACCCAGTCAAGTTGCACATGTAGATTTTTCCCAAAAAATGCCAAAAAACTGTCCAACACAATGGGTGTAATAAACTAGAGCGACATCTGTTGCAGAGAAAATTGTGGCGGCCATCTTGTGATTGTAGGAGTAGCAAAGTTCTGCAAGGGGGTCTGGCTCATGGATTTATTAGGTATGTAGGTATTAGGGATTCTTTGATTGAAAAATTTGTCGATTAAAGGATTTCAAAGGATTAGATAACATTGTATATTTGTGTTATAATGCAGGGAACGCTTTTTGCCTTTGTCATTTATAAAAACAAATCTTCACCATAAACTGCACTACACTGTTCTTGTTTTTGCAGCCTATACATAAAACATTATCAAAACTGAAAAAAAAAAAAAAAAAAAAAAAATCACATGGTTTGGTAAACTGAAAAATGGGCATTGTAATTTTGAAAGTCCTGCTACCATGAATGTGTCAGAATTACTAATATGAATAAGATTTAGGAATTAACTACATAAATGCAGAACAAAACAAAAGTAAATATGCCATAAACAATGTATGAGTCCTTGGGTATAATAATACAGTCCTAACATGGATGCCGATGCTGTCCTGAGCCCCTCTAGTTTTATTTGACAGGACGTTCACGCGCAGTGGTCGGAGCTCGGGCGATCACGTGACTCCAGTGTTTACAGACATCCGGAGAAACATGGAGGACTCCTCTGGCAGTAATCCCCAGTCTCTCGGATTCACAGAGAAATTCAAGTCGTGGCTGTCGTGGTCATGGGCTTACGTGTGCTTCCTCTGGCTCGGCATGGTCCTGGTCATGGTGTACGTGCTGTGGAGCCCGCTCAAACTGCACGAAAGTCTCACATCGGGTGTGTTAAAGCGGCTGCGAGCTAGCTATTGTTAGCATTAGCTAGAGGGGATGAATGCAGTTAGCAGTGATCGACAGCTGATTAGTTTGACATTTTGTTTCCAAGTTTGTCAGATGCAAAATATTAATGTGCAATATGTCGATTGTTGTGTCGTGTAAATTCTGAGATTGCTTTGTTGCTTCTTGAACACTAGCTACATCCTTGCCTTATCAAAATAATATCCTACTATTCTGTTTTGGTTGTAGTCGACTAAAAAAATTCTTACTTGATTAAAGACACGCTCTGTAGATCAATTAGTCGACTAAAAGAAGGCATGGCATTAGCAAAAGTTTTCTGATCTGACCCAAAGTGCACTGACAAGACAAAAAAAGTAGCCTGTGTGTTTATGTGCAAAGTGATACAGTTCTCAGATCTGTTTCTAACTCAGTCCATGCTTTCTTCTTTCTGTTGTAGTGCATATAAATCTAATTGTGTGATGCACAGAGGAGCATACCAGATTTAGGATGAAGTACTAATATGATCATTGTTTTTCTTTCCAGCGTCAGTGTTTTTGAACACTCTGACCCCCAAGTTCTATGTGGCTCTCACAGGGACCTCCTCCCTCATCTCAGGACTCATTCTGGTGAGATTTAGCTTTATTTTCATGAGTGTTTCTTTTTATTTTCTTGTCTGTTTTTTTTTTTTTTTGTCAAGTTATACAAAATGTGAAGACTCATAGCTGAGGATGCAATGTAATTATCCAGGAATAGTAGTTTATCAATTTTGTTACACAATATAGAATATTATGGAGTGACCAATGCATCCTAAATAAAATGTGTTGAAGAAAAATTTTCATCTTTGTTGTATGCAGGAAAATACATTAAAGGCTTTATTAAAACCATAGGCAGAAGTCAAAAGGAGTGTAACAACTCCCATAGCTGCATTAGCTGATTTCACTGAATTGCAGCATAGTGTATTTAGTATATTAATGCATCTTAAAATGTCCATGATTTAAATGTGTACCTGTCCTTCTGCAGATATTTGAGTGGTGGTATTTCCGTAAATATGGGACCTCCTTCATTGAACAAGTGTCAGTGAGTCACCTGCGCCCCCTGCTGGGAGGAGTGGAGAGTGGCTCTACCACTGGTCTGTTCTCATCTGTGAATGGAGATGCAGAGCCCAGACCCAGTGTCTCAGGTAAAATGCACAAGAAAGTATGCCATGGTATTTGTTCATGACTGTGCCAAATAATATCACTGTTTTGTTGTTATTATTATTATTTATCAGAGTGCAAGGTGTGGAGGAACCCCTTGAATCTCTTCAGGGGAGCAGAGTACAACAGGTGCAGTAGTTTGTGTTTTAGTTATGCCTGCCATCTGTGAATAGATTTACATTTGTTAATTTGTGGTAACAGAGATGAAGAAAATACATTATAAATAAGTGCATCTTGTCATATAATCCATCAGGTATACGTGGGTGACTGGAAAGGAGCCTCTAACCTACTATGATATGAACCTGTCTGCTCAGGACCACCAGACCTTTTTTACAGGAGACACACAGCAGTTAAGGCCAGAAGACGCAGGTGAGTGTCTGTTTACAACAACTAATAGAATACATCTACTTACACTGGCTGTGATGCCAACATGAAGTGAATGAAGTGGCCAGAGGGGACATCTATTTTAAGCACGTGTTGATCACCTCATTACAGTGATGCAGAAGGCTTGGAGAGAGAGAAATCCCCAGGCGCGGATCAGAGCAGCTTACCAGGCCATAGAGTTAAATCATGAGTAAGTGGATTGGCATTTTGTTGATTAGATTCTGATGCTCAGTTTGCAACCTTCTGTGATCATTTTATAAACATGAAAGTGAAAAGTGTTAATGGTACATTGTGTAACTTTTCTGGCGGAAGGTCCTTCAAATGGTTTTCTCCTTGGAGATGTTATTGCTTTGTGTGGAGTGTTTCACAGTATGGTATTAAAGCTTTCTATCTTCAAAAACACCAAACCAGACCAAGTTACAGGTCAAATTTGCGGAAAAACAAATCCGCTCACAGTCAGAATGCCTGTTATTCTAGGTATTTTTGAGCTATAAAACCACCTGTAAATTAATAAATGTAAGGTAGCGCTGTTTAGTGTCATACTGTTGAACAACTGAAGCAGAGCAAGTTAGGTTTATGTAATTTTATTTTCTAATTGGGTCTAGTCTACCAATTTTGATGACCATTTTTCCAGTATTTATCAAATATATCAATACAAAATTACAGCCTTATTTAACATGAATGTGTCTGTACATTCATTGTCCCTTTTAATGTAAGTAAACATGTCTTACATCTGTGCAGATGTGCTGCAGCCTATGTTCTTCTCGCTGAGGAGGAGGCCACAACTATCACAGAAGCAGAACGTCTCTTCAAAAAAGCATTAACTATTGGTAAGAAAATTATAATAAAATATTAAAATTGTGTTGTAGTAAAATATTTTTGTTGTGGATAAGTATTTACTATCTTTTGCTTTACTCCTAGCTGGAAAAGATATTAACTTATTAGTGTACATCAAGCGCAGACTTGCAATGTGTGCGCGAAAGTTGGGGCGGATCAAAGAAGCTGTTAAAATGATGAGAGATGTAAGTTGTTGTTTTTTTTTTAATCACTATTTCTAATTTTTTTCAGTATTTCTGAGTTTGAATACAAGTCTAATACTGATCTCATTATCTCTAATTTCAGTTAATGAAGGAGTTCCCATTATTAGGAATGTTAAACATACATGAAAACCTGTTGGAGGCACTTTTAGAGCTTCAAGCCTATGCAGATGTCCAAGCTGTTCTTGCCAAATATGATGGTACCGTATGAGTATTTCAGTTTAGTGTTGCAGTATATATGATATGTAAAATCTATTGTTTCTGTTCATTTCACAGACATCAGTTTGCCAAAATCAGCCACTATATGTTACACATCAGCTCTGTTAAAAGCCAGGGCTGTATCAGATAAGTATGTTCACGCTTGATTTATTTGGCTATGGTTGTGCTGTTTGATTGCCAATATCTAGATTTGAATGGTACAAATTTATTATAAGGGTGATTATAATGGTTTTCTGTTTTGGTAGGTTTTCTCCAGAGGCAGCTTCCAGACGAGGGCTCAGTACAGCAGAGATGAACGCTGTGGAGGCCATACACAGAGCAGTCGAGTTCAATCCACACGTGCCAAAGGTCAGTCTTTAAGTCATTAAAAAGTATGACATAAAGTTATTACATGACATAATGACATAAAGTTACTTTTTTTTTTAAAGTTTAACTTTTATGGTAGTCAGTAAGAATGCATGTTTTGCAAGGTATCTTTTTTCCAATAACATTGGAACATTCCAAGCAAAGCAATAACCTCTCCAAATGGTGGCAGAGTTTTTGTAAGAAAAAGCTATAAAATGCACCTTTAAATTAACTAACTATGATGAATTAAATTATGTAATTATTTTACCAAAGAATAATTACAACTGAAAGATCATAACCAAAAGTAATTTCAAAGTAGAAACAATGAAATATTTTTACTGGTTTTCACTTGTGTGCTGATCTGTGTTTCACCTGGACAATTTTCCACCAATTTTAGAAAGTGCAAAAGAACATTTTGGTGTAGGTTTGACCTACTACTGCAGTAGTGAAATACAAAAAAAATTGATATTTTGCCCTTTGACCAGCAGGTGTCAGTCTTGTTTGGGTTTAATTACCAGACCCTATGACATCCTATACTAAAATCATGTGAAATTGCCATTCCAGTTCCCTGCTTATACATATTTAAAAAATCCTGTAATTCACTTTAATTTCATACATTAGATATGTAATACACAGTTTAGTGCCTGTTCAGTCTTTGTTCAAGCTTTTGGAAGTAGAACAGAAAGTTTGCATGTCTGGATAAAGAGGATAAATGTCAACCATGACTTTGATCCAGCCTTTGATTTTAAAGTGAAGACCCTCATCTCAGTACCCCTGCTCTCTCCCTGTGGGCCCCACGGCAGCTCATGTCTAGCTTTCCCTCATCACCTGTCCACTACCTTCATCTGCTTATGTTTCTTCTGTGCATCATCTTACCTATTTTGAAGAAAGGTGAATATAATACCACAGTGTTGTAGAATTTGCTGAAAATAGTCCAGGGGTAGTGTTGTGTCTATGGGTCATGTGGCCTTGTGGTGTTATGGGTTTTCTGAGGTGAGCTGCACACCTGTGACTGGCACTGTAAGTCATTTCATGTAACTGGAGCTATCCTTTCTTTGTTACACGATTCTGCTTTTACTGTTCTCCTTTATTTTGTTTAGGGTTGTAGTGGGGGCGCACTGATTCAATTATGGTATCGGACATTGGCGATGATACAGAACTATTTGCTGGATCAGATATTGCGCTTCCTCTTATTGGTTCAGCTGATATCCTGATAAGTCATAAAAAAATTTTTTTGTCTTTATTTAGTGGTCGTAGTTGGCCCCCGAAAATCTCAAGTTTGAGTTTTTATTTATACAAAGTTGTGTAGTTACTGTAGTTACTGAAGGATAAAGAACAGATCCATAACACATTTCGATCTGTTTTGTCTTACTTTATTTTTGTATAAAGGAAATAAATGCCTGCTTTAGTATTGGTTGATATCGTGTATCGGCAAATAGTTAAAGCTATAGTACTGAAATTGGTATCAGAATTGAAAAGTAGTCGACTAAAAACATGTCCTGCTGATTGATTAACTGTCTAAAAAAGAGCATGGCAAAAGATATCAATACTATAACATATGTCCTTATAATCGAAAGCCTACACACCTGATTTTGTTTATTTTTTCAGTTTTGATTCTTTCAGTTTCCCATCTTTTATCCTCTTGGATTGGTCAGCTTTATATTTAGCTCCAGTCACTGTCATTTTGAAGTAACCAAATCTCATCTATTCACCCATTTACTGATAATTTCTCAATCCCTTCTGTGTGTTCTTTTCTCATTTACTTTTGCCAAGACAGACACTGCCTGGTTTACTTCTGAAATTGGCTCTTTGGTGTGAAAATAGAGCTAGAAACGGTGAAGTTATTGTAAATAAAGATGAATGTGTTTTCATTTGAGGAAGTCCCAGAATCATCTCTCTGTTTTATAACTCCACTGGGCAGCTTTTGTATTTTCAATATATTACTTTAGTCGTGTCCATTATATAGGACAGACATTTAACCAATCCAATGGGAATGAATTTTACTGTATTATATAAATGTAGTCTACAAATACAACTGCTTTATATCACTGACACAGTAACCCTAAAGCATCATAATTCTCATTTTAAAAGGCATGAGCTGACTTGCTTCAAAAGATAATTAGCGTTACAAGTTACTTATTCAGCCCACTGCAGCTCAAATTATATCATATTAAACAATAATAATAAACATAAAATTGCCATTTTTGAGCCCCAAATGATATTGTTCCATAATTTATTTAACTTTTATTTATAGGGATGTACCAATCCTGCTTGTTCAGTTCCAATACAATTTATTCTGCTATAGCTTTAAGTATTTGCCAATACCCAATAATAACCAATACAAGTATTGACCGAAAACAGCATTTATTTCCTTAAAACTAAAATAAAATAAGACAGGAGTGATTCAAATGTGGGCTGTTATTTATCTCTCAAGTAACGTCAGAACCACTTTGTATAAATAAAATTTCATGAGTCATGAGACTTCCCGGCCCAACTGTAACCAGTAAAGTCTTATTACATCAATTTGTATGCTCAACCAGGTTATTGGCTGAATCATTATTTAGAGGCAGATGTTTCAGTATCAGCACCGATATACAGTACAGAGTTTTCCACTAACAGAATAGTCTGCTGTGCCCCCCCCATAGTTTAAAAAGAACATGGACTAAACATTTGTGTAATAAAAATCTCACTTTGTTGATCCTTTTATTGTCATTAACATAAAAAGTAATTACAGTGTTCAAAAAGACTGCTTACATGTGAAATTTAGGCAATAAATGGCATTCAAACTCCACAGATTGTAAGAAAGAAAATTATCATAAATATAGAACGTATTTGTACCGCCGTAATCTGAGCAAAACAGCATCAATATTTATTAAACATTTACTGAACGAAAAGTCTTTACATGAGCAACAAAATAAATCTAAAACTTTCCTTTACCAATATATCTTTAGTCATAGCGTCTCCAAATAAAGCATCACAAATACTGCACACTGGAATAACAATATTTTATCACCTCTCATCTTTTGATAAATGCATGTCTGCCCGGTCTATATGGAGAAACACAAACGCCCTGATGTGAGTGCTCTGTGGGGGGGGCAGATTAGAACGAGGAGGCAGTTTATGAGTTATGCGCTGGGCTTATGACTGGCCCTGGATAAAAGGAGAACACATGAAACCCAATCCCTCCATCAAAGAGGCGCGAGCGGCGGAGAAGCAGAGTGAAGAACAAGAGAGGGGGGCCTGTGTGGACGGAGGTGTCACCAGGTCTAATGCTTTGGCATGCAAGGAAGGACAGCTGAGCACCCGCCCGCTCTAAATGGTTAATCTTCAAACATCAGTTGACATGAGTGCCCTACTGTACGGGTTGACCACCGTTAGCTACTAACCCACGAGAAGAAATGAAGACTAGAAAGTAGACTCAGTAGGTCTTTGTAGGACTTTGGGGATGTTAATGTTGTTAGGAATGCACACTTTTGAATTGATCTTTAACGTTGTTTTCATGTGGGAGTGATTGTGCAGGGTGACGATGATCCAGGAAGTTGGAAGTAGGGATGTACCAATCAAATACCAGTATCGGTTATCGGCACAAATATTGTACAGAAAATTTGTAAAATCGGCTTACAAATATCTATTCAGCAGATAGTCTGGACATATAAATTGATATAATGAGATTATTTACTGGTCATAGTTAGCCCAGAAAGTCTCATAATTTTTCCACTTTTATTTATACAAAGTTGTTCTACAAAGTAACTACTAGGGATGTAACGATATCCAAATCTCTCGACGTGATATTTTCACGATATGCATCTCACAGTACGATATTTATTGTGATATTTTGTGGAGGCTGACAAAATGTGAATATGCTACTTTTTTCTTTTAAAATGCATTGACAAGACTTTGGTTCTGTCATAATCCGAGATATTTCTTCATGTAATTGGTGCTGAAATGGTGAAAAGGCTCATGGTCTATGTAGTTCCCTCTGTTTTTGTAGCTATATTGCTATAACTTCAAATTCAATATATTGTGCTGGCTCACGATATTATTGTGAGACATTTGACAATACGATATCACGATATTTCTGTTATTGTTACGTCCCTAGTAACTACAAAATAGCTACATAACATTTGTATCAGTTCTGTCTTATTTTATTTTTCTGTAAAGGAAGTCGATGCTATTTTTACTCTCCGCACTAGTATTGGATATCGGCAGACACTTAAAGCCATACTATTGAAAACGATATCGAAACTGAAAAGGCTGGATTGGTGCGTCCTTGGTTGGGAGCAGTTCAGAAGGATCAAGAGTGGTTTTGTGAAACAGGGTTGTGGATGAGTTCGTACAGTGAGAATGGTCCAGGTGTTTGTGATTCTGTAGATTAAGATTGGAAAGAATGTTCAGTGGTCCAGAAGGGTAGCAGCGGTTTAGAAAATGGTCCAAGAAAGTGAAAAAGGTTCAGTAAGGTGACGAAGATCCAGGTGGAGCAATTTAAGAGTAAGAACAGTTCACTGTGGAGAAATAGTTCAAATTGTTGAGAGTCCAGATGGTAATAGCTCTTCAGTAGGTCGTCGAGCGTCAGTAAGATGATAGAGGTGGGAGCAGTTTAGGTGAGGAAAATGGTCCTTGTGGTCGAACGTTGTAAGAATGGCTCAGAGGGGTTGGAGATATTTAAGGCCGATATTTGCACTTTCTAGTACATCAGGTATTGGCCTTAACTCTCCAGCACTGGTCGATATTTTTTGGGGGTCAACCAGCTGCCTGAAGAATATGCACACTGCTCAGAATGTTACTACACAGCTCTCTTATCCAGTTTCTAGTAAAACAGGGTTATGGATGAGTTCCTATATTGAGGATTGAGATGAGAATGGTCCATGCGGGTGGGAGTAGTTCAGAAACGTAATTAGAGAGGTTTAGTAGAGTAAGAATGCTGTGAGGGAGATGTTTAACACTGTGTAAATTGTCAAGGAAAGTGCTTGTGATTCTGTAGATTAGGACTGGAGAGGGTGTACCTTTATATATACATTATATGGGGCGTACGCAGTTCAGTTGTGAGAGAATCGTACAGGAGGTGGGAGCGGTTCACTCACACTCCCTTAGTCCACTTCTTTAAAGAATCTATGTTTTTAGCAATGCTGTACCGCGTCCCCTCACAGTTTGTGAAGCGATGCGCAGGTCATGTCTTTCTTTAGTAGATCACAGCCCTGGGTTTAGAGGGTGAGAATGGTCCAGGTGGGTGGCAGTGCTAAATAGCCACTGGGAGGGTGGGGTGCTCCAACAGGGGGCGAGGCTGGTCGGGGGAGACGGGTGAGGCAGGATGGATGGTTGGATGAGCCTGTGACCATGGAGGGGATTAGACAGGATTAGCTTGTGGCTAACCTTCCCAAAGTGTCTGAGATCTGCAGCGCTGTGAAGCCGGCCGCCTGGGAATCCAGCCAGGAGGCCCCCATCACATGGGTTTTGTTTGACACAGTCCTGTGCCACACCGGGCAACGCACACATAAATTACATGAGTGGTGATTCATCAGAGTGGACATAAGAGGAGTGATAGCCATACAAGTCTCAGATCAGGATTGAAATCATATGTAAAGCAAAAGTTAAAGCTAAACTAAGTAATTTTTTAGCCAAATAGAACAGTAGACTAAAATAAAAGCATGCTTTGTTTTAATTTGGTGCACTTAAAATGTGAATACTTACTGTGAGTAGGCTTGCATCTCCACAAATCTCCTCTTGTTTGTTTCCATGAAAATGTTCCTTTGGCTATGTCTTTGACAGTATGGCAAGAAATATATCTATTTATTCTATTTATCTATTAAGTCTGGTTTTAACTTTCTATTTGCAGGTGACGTGCCACCCACAGAAAGTTACAGACTGTTCTTTTAAGTATAATTGCTAATTATAAATCCTAATGTGTTATTATTTTAAACGTGCCCTATGTAACCTTATAGTGAATAGTTCCCCACCTGCTTGTCACCGTAGAGATAATATTGCTGTGCCTGGAATGTTCCACAGTATGGCATTTAATCTATCTCCATAGAGACAGGCACTTGACACCACCAGACTAATTTACATGTTATAGAAAACTTGAGTTCTTACTGTGAATACTATGAATGAGTAACCTGGTCATGTGCGTCACCTGTTGTCTCCGTAGAGATAAATAAGTGTAATGTCATACTGTGGAACATTCCAGGCATTCCATGGAGAAAAACAGGTGATGGATCCTGCACCAGAAAAGTTACACGGTGCATCTTTACAGCTGCTTCTTCTATAGTTTTCTGATCTGGGACAGTGGCTTTTGTCAGTAGTGAACCGACTGACTCCCCAGGACAAACTACACTGTAGGGGAACGGGAGGGGCAACGGGCAGTGTCACACATTCATGAAATAAATGCACTGTACTGAAACAATAACACACACACCCACACACATACTTTGGGAGAGCCTGTCCCTCCTCTCTCCCCTCTCTCCCCTCTCTCTCCTCTCTCTCCCAAAGTACCTCACATGAAGAAAATATGTTGTAGGAAAGGAGCCAGTAGATTTGCACAATAGATTGAAATAAAGACATTGCGGTTTGCGGAAAATAGATGATGGAAAACAGTAAAATGTAAAGCTCCATTACAGTTCAAATTGCTGTCCAAATTATGATGCATACAGTAAGGTTGTCAAAAGATCGAAAATCAGATACAAATCAACACTAAAACTAGTATCACGTTCAATCACAGGACTGAAATTGGTCTTTCATGAATAGCTTTTAAATGATTTTGAGCTGTATCAGAACAAGTATAAGACCACATAGAAAAGTACACGACCATGGACCACCACTACTTGATTATGGAACATAGTAGATGACTAAGGGATTTTTAAAATACCGTCATTTTCCTCCATGAATGACCACAAATATCATATTTTATCCTGCATTAAAAAATGCTGTCAATTTTTTTGGGAGCATTTAAAATGTGAACTTTGAACATAATCCTGTTATTAAAACACAATCGCCAGTCTAATCACAGTTAACTTTTGTTTTTATTTTGTTTTGGGTTTTTTCCCAAATCATTCAGCCTGAGAATACAGTTTTATTTTACTCTATATTGTCTGTTTCTTTCTTGTTACAGTACTTATTAGAGATGAAGAGCCTGATTTTGCCTCCAGAGCACATCTTAAAGAGAGGAGACAGTGAAGCAGTGGCATACGCCTTCTTCCACCTGCAGCACTGGAAGAGGGCAGAAGGAGCCTTAAACCTACTGCACTGCACTTGGGAAGGGAGTAAGTCACACAAACATTTGTCTTAACCACAGGCTGCATTTACTTTAATTTAGTCAGTGTATTATCAAAAAAGAACATTTCAACAGTATTGCATTTTTTAGATTTTTGTCACATGAGTCAGTCATAACAAAATTTTGAAACTGATGTGACACATGCAGATATTTAGTTCCATCTTGTTGACAGGAGCAGAGTCCCAGTGACTGTACGAGATTTTTAGTTTTATTCATTTAATAGAGTAAAAATTTTGCCCTAGAAACGGATTAGTTTCTTTATTTTATCTTCAGGAAGTAATGCTAGTGAGATGTTAGTGTGCGAGTTGGTAAAATCACAGTGACTGCAAATCAAACTTCCACTCTGATCTCTGAAAGTGGACTGTTTAAAATGAACTACTTTTGTTTTCACATTCTTAAGATGTTAAAAATCAGTTACAGTGCCTTTAAGATCTTCATGAATAACTCCTGGAGAACCAAACAAGATTGGTTCTTTGGGTAAGAAAGACTCAGATGATGAAGTTACCTATACATCATCACTGCATTTTATCAAGTGTCTCAGTATCAGAGTATATCAGAGTATATCAGAGCATAAACATATCCTCTTATTTAAAGGTGACTGAGTAAATGTTCATTCAAATGGTCTGTAAATATATATTCTTTGTTCTATTTCTTTTCCTCTCAGCCTTTCGAATAATTCCTTATCCACTGGAGAAGGGTCACCTGTTTTATCCTTACCCAGGATGCACAGAGACAGCAGACAGAGAACTGCTGCCCTGTAAGTGAATCTTTACAACCACTTAACACACTACACGACTAACTGTATACAATGAATGAACCACTGTCATGTTGTGTCTCTCCAGCTTTTCACGAGGTGTCTGTGTACCCAAAGAAAGAGCTCCCGTTCTTCATCCTCTTCACAGCAGGCCTTTGCTCCTTCACTGCCATGCTGGCCATGCTCACACACCAGTTCCCAGAGCTCATGGGTGTCTTTGCCAAAGCAGTAAGTACAGCCACCAGAGAGATGTTATATTTAATCAAATACACTTTATTTCTATAGCATATTTCATAAACAAAGACTGTTTAAAAAATGTGTGGTCTATTGTACACATGAAATCATTATCCTGTCAAAATCCTGCTATTGAGGAGTTTATTTGGTTTGCTTGGTTTCTAGCAGTACAAGAGCTTGAGGTTTCGGCAAAGTATTGTACTTAAAGGTGCACTCTGTAACATTTCTCGCGCAGGGTCCGGTACCTGCTTGTCTTCACGGAAATGTTATTGCTTTGTCCAGAATGTTCCACAGTATAGATTAAACCTTTATATCACAAGGGAGACAAGCAGCTTACAGCACTACGCTTCATTACAGTTCAGATCTGTGGAGAGGCGCCCCTATTTACAGAGGGAGTGCACCACTACAGTTGTTGTTAAAAGTTGATGTTAAAAGTATAAAGTAGTAACCCAAGAAATAATCAAGTAAGGGTAAAAAAGTATTTTGTGGAGACGACAAATACTACTACAAGCAAAAATAATTGTAAGAGTAATTGTACTTCTGCAAATGAAACATATTGGCCAACTCTTAGCAGTGATGGTAACATTTAATTAAAGATTTAGGGATGGGCCAGCAATATCATTATCGCAATAAACTTCTTTTCTGCTTATTCAAAAATTAGCAGTCATAATTTTCTCCAAACGTAGCTCTCGCCCTCATTAAACTGTCATCAAATTGTACACTTGACTTGACATTCTCATTAGCGATAAGAACCCCTAATCAATCATTTAGCTTCATATCCCTAATTTACAGTGTCGTTAGTGTAGAAACGCGCAGTTGTCCGTTTTATCAAGTTTGGCAGCGATTTCTGTCTCCCTGTTTTCTTGCTTCTGCCTTTACATAGACACATAGCCCCTCCGCAAAACAAGGTCATGGGGAACATCTAGTGCTTAAGCTGGTGTTATGAGAAAGATAGGGTTTTACAGCAGCCCCAGATGGGTCTGTTTTGTGTAATACATAAATGAACTACATGTAAAAACGTTGAGAAGAGAACACTAAGGACTGCACTCCTCTGAGAAAAAAGAACATGCTTGAATCTGCAGAAAATCCACACAGAGACACGCCAAAAGTAACACACTGATTTTCCTTCATCTATGAGAACTTTATAACATGTAATTTTTCCATAACAATAGTATTGCAGTATTTCAGGTTTTTGGGCCCACTACAGTGTGTTGGCAATTGACAATATGTACTTTAAATGCCATGTGTGTATGTTAGGGCCTGTTCATAAAATGTCAAAGCCATAGGACTATGTTTTATTGGACAAGATGAAATACGGCAGCCAAGTTTTGTTAAACTCCCATAGTAATATTTTAACTACTGGAAATACCTGATAAGTTGTTAAGAAATGGCATAATACTTTTGGATAGTCCATAATTTATTGATATAAAGTAGGACTAGGCAATATGATAATAAAAGTCAAATCATGATCAGATCCCTGTATCATTTTGGTTAGGAATGCACCAATACCCATACTTTCACCAAAGATCAGTGCCAATCCAGAAAAATAAGATGGATCCTGTATTGGTTCCATGATATCGATATCGTTCATCCGATATCTTGGTTGGACATTTCATTGGATGTGCTGACCTAGAATATTTAATTGTTTAAACTTTGATTCATACAAAACAGGTTTTTTTGCTGGATAAATAACACAGTTGGAGAAATTTTGAAGTTACCTGTTTTGATGAAAATAAAATGCTTTTTTCAGTCTTTACATTAGTATAATCTGATATTGAGTATTAGCAGATGCCAAAAAACAAATAACTATCATTACCGATAGTGAAACTGAAAAAGCTGGATTGCTGCATCTCTAATTTTTTGATGATACTTTCTGTCATGTCACTTTTCCCCACTGACTCCTTCTATTGTTCAGCCTCCTACATGCCATGAGTGAGTGACAGGTGTAATTAAACAATCACAGTGAAGTATGAACTTTCAGAAGACATAGATGACTTTAGTTACCTCTTAAGGACAATATAAAGATACTGATTATGCATGAATTTTGACAAAATTTTAATTGTGATCTGACCCTAGGAAAATCAATTGTCTAATTTTTAAACAGCAATTAATGCCAAGGAGATCAGGCCCATGACCTTCAACCATCCATGACCCTTTGTACATTGATGAAATATTCAAACTGAAATCAAATGTATTTTAAGCTTTCAGAATGCATTATATTGCATTGGACAAGAATGCAGTGTGTGATGAATTTGTTGCATAAATACACCGGGACAAGTGAATCAAAGATAGTCTAAAGTTTATGTTCACATCGTGTAAGCACATTTAATTATCCACGCGTTCTACAAACAAAACAGATAAAATGATGAGGCTATTTTCACTGAAAGAATGTGACCTCTTTCCTGTCATTTCAAGTCTTTCGCCTTCAGCTCCCGTCTGCACTCAAGTAATGTGCAGATCCATACCAAATATTGTTATATATCGATTTTGACTGAGGTATGAGAAAGCATCATGCAATTCTCTCTCATGCAAGTCTCATGCAAAAATATTTCATGAAATTTCATTATTTATTTTTAAAACAATTTCAGTAATAATAATAAAAAAGTAATACCTTTATCTGCACATATATTTATTTTATAGATCAGTTTAAGCTGAGGTGGAGCAAAGATAATGACGCCATGGTACAATTATTTATAGCAGGGGAGTTTCAATGCATTTTAATACCAAACTAATGTGTTGGTATTGGATCTGTATCACAATGCTTGTCAAAAGTATCAAAAATTAGATACTAATTGATAATAAAACTAATATCAAAACTAGATACTCATTTGAGCTTGCGTCACTCCAATTTAATGTTAAAAATCACATTCTCTTGTCTAAAGAAAGTTTTTTTTTAGCATTGTGACACTGGAATTGAGTATCTATTCCCTAGTGTCAAAATCAAGTTTGATGTTTTAGTATCATGATAACACTAGCATCGGGTCTATATTGCAGTATTTGCTATAGTATTATTTGGTATGAGATCAAAACAAAACTCCCTGGTATCATCCATCACTACTGCATTCACTGTGGTCCATCTACTTAAGTTCATTCTCATGTTTTATCTTCCAGTTCTTCAGCACACTCTTCGCTCCTCTGGGCTTCTTCGCAGACAAGATGGAGAGCTTCATGCCGTCCAGTTTTTGGCACCAGCTGACCCGGATCTGACCAGTCCCTCTCTCTCTATCTCTCTCTGTCTCTCTCTCTCCTTATCTCTCTCTCTATCTCGACACACATAACAAATGACTAAACGCTCCAAGATAATGTATTTGCTCTTCTCCTGTCTTCAGCATTACGCCCCACTTCCGCAATTGTAAGTTATCATATTGGCTGAGGTCGTATCAACACAACCATACGAAGATGCTCTCCCGTAATTGTCCAGCAGATCTTTGAGTTTCCTAGAACAAACTGAGTATTGTTGTCATTTGTCATTACGAAAGCACTTGAGTTTAAATGCAGGCTGTATACAAAATGTAAACAGTCGTATGGGGAACGTTGTACCAGACGACCCCATCGAAAACATGAATCAACAAAACTATTACGTATGTGAAGTTACAGCCTGTTTAAAATGAATGACTCATTTTATATACTGGTACGATTAATGGTCTGAAGGGTAGAGCTGTTCAAAAATATTGAAATCTCAGTTATTCAGTTTGATTATTTGCTAAAAGAGAAAATGAAAATGAACAAACAGGATGAAATTAATGTAGACGTCACTTTTCCACTCAAGGAAAAACATATGTGCACACTGAAAGGGTAATGTTAAAGAAGGGTTTATTCTGCAATATCCACTTTATGGTGCTTTCTACCATGTTAACATTTTTCACTTATCAAAAACATGCCTGAAGAGGTTTAATATGTCATCCATGGATGTTTGAGTAATCTAACGATCTCTCAGGAACTATTGAAACCCTCCTTATGGTTAAATGTGCAATTCTGTACAACAAGCCTACATTAGTCATACTCCTGAATGGAAATTTGACATAAAAGAAGGATAAAAAACAATATACTACAACTCCATAAATCTGATCTGGTGTGCAGTCATTTCATTTCTCTTTGGAGGGGGAGTGACTTAGGGCAGAGAGCAAAGAGCGCCAAAAACAAAACTGAAACCAATTAAACATGTGAATACCTTGTTTTCAGCAAATATAGTTTTTTTTAATGATAAAGGGTAACATTTAATACCCCATAGAAGTGTAAAACCCCATCTTTAACATTCTCAAATACACAGTTTTAGTAAATTATTAGAGCAATAATTATAATTGAAATTTGATCAGCCCTAGTATACTCCAAATTCCAGCATTTAAAGTCTTATGTTATACGTGACGCACTTCTAAATATATGACATGAAGTAAAATGATCATCGAAATTGGAAAAGTTACAAGCTTCCAAGTTTATTTGACAACAACCATCTCTGTCCCATCATAGAAAGCACTATGTGACTCAGATATTCCCTGATAAGTGTACAGGCAGTCTGGAAGTCTGTGAGAAATCCTCCAGCCATAGCCCTGATTTACTGCCCTAGTGTCTACAGTGTATATAGTGGCCCTGCAGTTGTTGCCATGGCATGACACCTAAGCACTATATCACTACTGCGACCTCTGACCCCCAACATCCACCAGGAAATGGGATCGTCGCTGGCATTGTTAGGGTTTTCCCATGCTCATGCCAATCATTTAAGCTGACAAAACTGCCAGACAGAACATATTGTCTTTAAAAAATATAGTTTTATTGATTTTAATAATGATAAGATTTTAAACTAAATTAACTATTGGATATAGGCCTGTCATGCTAAAATGTGTCTGTATAAAAGTAAATATCGATAACACAGCATAAATGAAATAGTTTGTATCTACAATGAGAAATAGAAGTTCGTAATTCAAATTTCTACAACTCAAATTGTATCATAGTACAGAAAAATAACCTTGATCCTCAAAAATAATTGTTCCCTCTGTTGTATATTGAATGATAAATCCATATAGTAACTATCGTGACCGGCCTAATTGGATAAAAAGTCTCTTGCTAGTTGAGTTTCAAGGAACAAAATATAAGAACGCAACATTCCCCTTGGAGAATACATAGTTGAGAATTGAGATTTCAGAATATATTGGGGGTAGCTGTGCAAAATGAATGTGCCTATTAACTTGTATATGGAATGTTTAAAGACCTTTTAATAGTTTGTCTTATTTATTGAATTGTAATGCCTTAGGATAGGATGTTAAAATAGTGTTGACAACCATGTAGATTTCAAGTGCCTTTTGGTTTTGGATAGTAGTGCCCAATAATTAAAATACAGATTAATGATTGCACAATTTGACTCAAACTGAAATCAGAGAAGGCTTACATGCTGAAGGCAGGAGAACGTCTAAAAAATGTAACCACCCTTAAAAAACTTAATGGCAAAGTCACAATAAATACCAACTCAAAATACTGTTGTAGTTGTTTCATTTATTTCTCCATTTTCTTGTTTAAATGGCCCATATTACGCTGTTTTCTGATCCATGTTATAATGTTTCCTCGTCCAAAACATACCCGGAGTTGTTTTGTTTCATTCACACATGTTTTAACACACAAATCCTGCATATTTAGGCTGAGTTCTTCTCTCAAACAGAAAACACTCAGTTCCACCTTGTGCTCCACTGTGTTTTTAAACCCCATACATCTAGAATCATTTGGATAATTTCAAATCAAAATCAAATCAAATTTATTTGTATAGCACATTTAAAACAGCCAAAGTTTACCAAAGTGCTGAACAGAGAAACAAAACAAATCAACCAGAATAATAATGATAGAAATAAAAATAATAAAAGCAAGGTGCCAAGATGTCTCTTTCTAACTCTGGTCCTAGGGACAACCAGGAGGTGTTGGTCTGCAGAGCCCAACCCTCTGAATGGAACATGGGGCTGAAGGAGTTCAAATAAATAAGAAGGTACCATGCCATTAAGACTCTTAAAAACAATCATTAAAATTGTTAAATGGATTCTAAAATGTACAGGGAGCCAATGCAAGGATTTAAGAAGAGGACTGAGCTGGGCCTTCTGCTTCTTTTCCAGTTAAAAGGAGAGCGAATTTCAGCGCTGGAATTGCAAATAATAACAAAAGGTAAAATCTAGCTGTTAACTTTGAAAACTACTGCTTCATGAGATCACAAGGTGAAACAGAGCATTTTGAGCTTTGTAGATGTAGACAGACATAATAAAGGGTTACTCAAATGAAACAAAACACAACTCTGCATGTGTTTTTGATGAGGTAACAGCATTATAACATCTCTAAAAGCTTACAAGAGTCAATTTTGCGCAATATAGGATCTTTAATATTCTACTGGAACTCAGAAATGCAAACAACAACTCTGCCTTTATGTGCTGATGATAGATCAAGGGCAATTCTTTCCAGGCTGTTCCCTCTTCTGAATGATATCAATTCAAGAGGCTCCATTGCGATCATTATGTCTGTCCCACTCCAGTGCCATCAGCAGATGCTTGTAGTGTCCGCAGTGCCCCACCGCTGTCGTAATCACACTTCACACTCTGCACAGGGGACAGAATCAAATGACTGGAGAGAGCTGCTGAAAAGATCTTATATTATACTAAACTAACTTTGTTTTGGACCATGTTACAGTGTTGTTCCTTCATCTAAAACATACCTGGAGTTCATTCATATAATATATATATATATATATATATATATATATATATATATATATATATATATATATATGAATGATTGAAAACATGTATTAAATAATGACTGATACATGTATTTACAGAGGAATGACAGAAAATATTTTTTGTCATACTGTTGAAGAGAGTAGTCAAAGGAACAACAATTAAATGGAAATAGGCAGGATTTACCATGCAGAAGATAAGAGTGAGGTTTGTGGAGATGCAAGCCTGTTCTCATGGACACACTTTTTCAGAATCAACACAACCAAAATGGAAAAATAACATGCTTTTATTTTAGTCTATATTTTGTGTAAAAAGTTATATATTGTGATTTTAAGTCCAGATGACAGATTTTCATGTTGTTCTAAGACATAATATATAATACAATATAATATAATAATATAGTAATATAACTGTGTTTGGTGGGATAGTGTCTATGTTAAACATTTATCATAGTTCTGCTTTAGTTAAGTGGGTGTTTGCGGAAAAAAAAAAAAAACTTGGAGAAAATATAGTTTAAAATGACAAGTAACTCTGAGTTCTGAAAAGGAATCCCTCTATCTATATCATCAATATACAAAGTTCCATCCAAAACACAGGGACAAATTACACAGAAGGAACACGTTTTCCGGACTGTTTCAACATTCTTTAAGAAAATTAGACAAACTTTTGGCCTTTGTTTACGATATGGTTTGAGATAACAGTTGTGGAATTACCTAATGCTCAAACTAGGGAAAACATGAGGCGTACTTGATGTAGAATATAGTACAGTGATAGAAATACAACATTTTCTGAGTTGATAACTTAAAGACACTGTGTAACTTTTTCCATCATCTGTCAGTTTTCGTGGAAATCTCCTTACTTTCTTTGGGGTGCTCCACAGTATGACACTGAAATAATCCATCTGACTTTCATTTAATCAGGTGTTTTTATGGCTACCAGGGTAGTGGGCCGGCTACCAGAAAAGTTACACTGTGAACCTTTAATAAACGGGTCCTCCATCAAAATATAGGTGTACCTCTGTATCTGTAGGACACTTTGTTCTGCTTGTAGCCACATTTTATTGCTCCAAGCCAGTAACAGAGTAACTGGTGAGGGCTATTGTTCTTCGTCATTTTCTTCGTTTTCTTGCAAACGATCATGATTTTGAGGGCCTAAATGTAGAGGAAAAGTCCCCAAAATGGGTATGGGATTGACCAATCCAGTGAAAATTTTGATAAAACGATCACTGCAACAATGCCCAATGTGACCCGACTCAAGAGTAGCAGAAAGTTGGCCATATTGGATAAAAAATTTGCCACTGTTTTGACTGCATGTTTGTAAAAAACATCTAATCCCTGGTTTTTGGTGCAAATGAGATAACATTTGGCATGTGACAACTAGAAACATAGGTTAAAAAAAAAAGAAGATCAGTTTAATATTTCTTACAGCCCGTAGCACATTGTCGAAAAACACCTTCATTTACTGTTTATTTGATGACTTCTCACAGCCACAGGCATTGGTCTAGAGAGCTTAAATTCAAATCACAATTACATGATCTTGGCCCGAATGTAATGGACTATGAAGTCCACCTGAACACTATAGCGCCCCCATCATAGACAGGAAATATGAACATTATAGGATTTGCGTGACTACTAGAAAAAAAATAATATTACGGACATGGGGCATTTTTCACGGTTGGCCAGCAGGGGTGCAGAGATAAAAAAAAAAAATAAAAAAAAAAACATTTAAAGGTGCACTGTGTAATTTTTCTGATTGAGGATCTGTGGGCTTGGGCAGCTGTCAGGAAGGGACAATAACATACTGGGCGTGTACAATTGCTATTGTTTTACCACCAACATTCAGCTGCCTATTTTTCCCAAAGAGCAATCGACTTAGTTCATATAACATGGACTATAAGAAAAATCATCCAATTTTATGTCCCTGCAAATCCTCATTAATTAGCCTTCCTCCTGTCGGGTCAAAGGGCTCTTCTTACATTCCAACAATAACGTAACATTTTGCCAATTTTATTTTTTCATTACAACAACATACAGTACATAGCCTATAAGCATGTAGATAAAAGATATTAATCACTGTGTGTAGTAAAAAGGAGATGGAAGGGGGGAGATGGGGAAGTTCAAGGAGAGCGCACACATGTTTACAATGAACCTGACACAGCCATTACACAGTGCGGACACGCGTTACAACATATCTGCGCTCCCCTCGGCCTGAATGTGAGGCATGTACACGGCCACGCTCTCCGACCATCTCCCATCGGGACAATTTTAGACGCGCTATGCTGTTAAAATGAGACGGCCATTTGATATCACTGTGATGGCTGCAGCGACGCTCTGGTTATTTTGGTTCTTTTTACAGACGGATAAATCACAGCGGGGCACTTCAAACTCTCAGGCTGGTGGTGGCGGAGTTTGTGTTGGAGGTGTTCAGTTAAAGTTGGTTATGAAAAGTTTATAGTGTACAATCATTAAAGGTCCTATCTAACACAAAATTGACTCTTGTGCATTTGAAGACATGTTATAATGTTGTTGAACATGTGAGAATGAAACAAAACACAACTCCAGGTATGTTTGTGATGATGAAACAATATAACATAGGTCATAAATTACCATAATATGGGCCCTTTGAAGGTGCATTATGTATTTTTTCTGGTGGGGTTCGCTGCCTGTACTTCCACATGGACATGACATTTCATTGTAGGATCCAGCTTTTTCAGTTCTGATACTGATATTGATACTTTGGCTTGATGTATACACTGTATTAACCAATATCAGGGTAGCTACAGAAAATAGCACTTATCTCCTTAAAGCACAGTCAACTTATCAAGGGCCCCCTCCATATGTTTTATGAATTCTTTCTAAAAACACACAGAGTCTGGGCAAGTCCAAAATAAGTGAGAGGTGGGTTAATTTTTCAGTTCGCAAAATGTACAGTGTCCATTGCCCTTCTAAGATGATTATTTAGCAGATAACAGCGATGTAGAAGTTTGTAGCAGATTTCAATTTGCTTGTTGGTAATGACATATTTGTGTGGTAATGTCCATACATTTTTCCATGGAATATTGTCAGTAGAGTCCGGCTGCTAACAGTGCACGAGTAGGGCTCCGTTTGGGAGGTGCACTTGTGGTGATAGTCACTCTTTTGTTCGGTGACTCATTACAAGACAAGTTTAACTGAAAATGAAGCCAAGTAGGTTTGGTGCACAGCGTCTTCACTCACACCTGCTCAAGCCGCCATCTTCGGGTGCTGACACTGTCCTGCCGCTTCCCCAGTTTAGGCTCCTGGCTCCACTAATGACATCACTCTGTTGCAGCCAATGAAACACCGGCCTGTCGTCATATCACTGAATACATCTAAGAATATCCAATAAACAAAATGTGAACTAAAACATGTTCGATTAATACTACTGAGTTTGGAAAATATCGGAATAAATGTATATTTTTGTTTATTAACATAAAATGGCAAATATTGGTAGGGACTATTTTGTCTTCCCCAAATATTGGTTGTGACATGTCCCCACCATCCCTATGCAAACCTACGCCCTTGCAACTTATTACTCAAGAACTCTTTAACTGTTATTTATCTTTCAAATAACCACTGGTGTGTATGAATAAAAGTTCAAACATTATGAGACGTTCTAGGACAAAATCAGTCTGTGTAGCAAATCACAATATACTTAACAAACATTACAGAACCACTAAGCACTGACAGATATTTGATTCCAGTAAAAGACCAAAAGATATAGGCTGAACCAAATATAATAACATACATTGTGGGTTGCTTACCAGGAGAAGCAACCCTACATAAGTCTAATTTCTTGTGTTTTGTACCATTTACACACTGTTTCCAGATGTGCGCAACCACTTTTTTATACATACAGAAATTCAGTATTGTTGATGTTTTGTTTTCACAATAGTTGGATGTCCCATGGTATTAACAAAAATCAAACTGACCGCACTGTGTAATAATACTTTATTTTGAACATATTTATACATAAATATTTAAGCAGCAAAGAGCAGCGTGAAAAAAGACATGAATGAACAGATGATGAATCGAGAGCATTCTTTTTGCTGTCACTGTCTTTTCCCCAAAACTCCAGAGTCAATGCACCAGGAACCACAGCCCTCTCCCACTTTCTAACCCCTCACCTTTCTAATCTTTTACAAAAATACAGCCAACAGATTCTCCATTTACATTTAAAGCAAAAATGCAACAATTTGCAATTAGCCTCTGACCTGTGCACATTTGACATTGTGTCGTAGCGTTTGTTCAGATCCCAGTTTCTTGGCTCCGCTGGTCATTACGTCCATATGGAAGTATGTGTGTTGTGTGCGGCCGCTTGTCAGATTCAGTTAAAGGTGGAAGCCCCTGTGAGGGACGTGGGCTATGGTTACTGCACTGATGTTTGTGTAAAGTCTTGGACAGTTCTCCCCAAAGAGGACTCTGTGTTCTCTTTGGGCTTAGATGTGCAGATTACACTATTTATTATTTTACTGTAAACACAATGATATTTGACATGTTTGATACTGAGCTGTGACAGTTTGTGGGTTTGCATTTTGTGGTTAGAGGGCAGAAATTTAACCAAAAAAAAAAAGAACTGTAAAAAAAAGAATTGTAATAATGTAACTTAGACATGGTAAAATAATCTGCAGCAAAAAGGCTGATGTAGCCTACCGCTCTGGTGTAGTGAGGAGGATGTGAAGCGCTCTTCATATCTGAATACAGAATCTGGTTTTGTTGAAGGATTCAGTGAAAGACCCTGTGCCCGATATTGTTTTTGAGCAAAATAGGTCAAAATAAGTCAGCTGCATTCTCTCTGCATCTAATTCGAAGTGTTTTATTGTCTGGTAATTAAGAAGTGTGCTTTCACGTGCTTGGTATCATTAGCTTTACTGCCACACTAAACTCTGAAAAGCACATCACAGTGAATAATTAGGATGTTCAGAATTTAAGGTAAAACAGGAATAACTTCAGGTCACGGCAAACTGATGTAATAGCAAAAGTCAGGTACTCTGAAGTGACATGGGCTTCTCACATTGTTTTGAAACTGCTAATTTACTAATATACTGGTAACAGTGTACCTTATTATCACATCTTTGGTACTCAAAATGATAATTTGATGCAGTGTGACAAAAATCTGTTGAAATGTTTCTGTGACAATAGGACAAAATGTGTTTTATTTTACACAAAATTTACAGTGACAAATATTGCCTGGTTATTATATTATTTTCATTTTTACATCTTTTCTTGTTTACCCACTACAATGTGTAGGCTATAATAAGGTATAATAATGTGTAATTCAACACGCTATGTGCTTACAATTTTCCGAACCAGCAATCAACATCTCGTAACATTTACACATCCACATTTAAACTCTCAATAAAGCAGCATAGATCAGAAACTATAGGTCTAGTCTCCAGTTTCGCGTCCTTTTACAGTCTTTCAATGTGGCTTCTCAGTGGAGTCCTTTACTTTAGAGCAGCTGTCCAAAACCCAGTTCTGAAAGAGGAACTATATTTCCCAGAGTGCATCAGTACCAGGTTCCTTCAGTAGGGCCTCTTGTGCGGTTTACACGTGTGAATGTCCACCTCGTCCTCACAGTCCCTACACTCCACGGCGCAGCACCATTTGAATTTGCATTCACACTTGGTCACGCGTTTGACGGGCATGGTGTCGTAGCCCCGCCCACAACACATGACCTCACAGCCGTCCGACCCCCGCGAAGACTTGTTACACACTCTGCCAGCCGTGCCCAGGGAGCCTATGGAGATGAGAAGATATGGGTTTTCAAATATGAAATCAGCATCATGAAGAGATCAACTGGTGTATTGGTCTGTCTCTAATTATTATTACTGCCCCGAGCCACAAACAGAGTAACTGACGAGGGCTACTGTTCTTCTCTATTTTTATTCTTCCTTGTAAACTATCGTGATTTTGAGGGCCTAAAAGTCAATAAAAAGGTTTTAAATTGGGTATGGGATTGACCTGTCTGGTGAAAAATTTGATATCACAGCATCGCGACAATGCCCAAAGTGATCCGACTCAACAGTGCTGCCTAAAAGTGACCCCTGTGGGAGTGGGGACAAGCAAAGTTTAGCGTAGGCAAACAAAATTCAGAACAGTGATTGTGAAAAATAAGACAGGCCTAAAGTTGAGCATTGGTGCATGCCCCTATGATGAACAAGAAGTCGGCCATATTGGGTCAAAAATTTGCCACCACTTTGACTGCGTGTTTGTAAAACACATCTAGTCCCTGGTTTTTGGTCCAAATGAGCTCAGATTGGGCATGTCACATCTAGAGACATGAGTTCACAAAAATGTGCCAGTTTTTGGCCGGTAGCATGTCGGCGAAAACCACCTTCATTTCCTGTTTCTCTGATTACTTTTCACGGCCGTAGGCATTGGTCTAGAGAGCTTAAATCCAAAACACAATTACATGTTCCTGGCCCGGATGTAATGGACTATGAAGTCTAATACAACTGAACACAACAGCGCCCCCTAGCATAGATATGAAATTTCGTCATTATCAGATTTGTACCAAATTTGGGGATAAAATTTTATGCATGAGTACAAGCAAAAAATATATTGTGGACATGGGCATTTTTCACACTGGGCAGCAGGGGCTTCAAAGACTTCTAAAAAAGCATTCAAAGGTGTACTGTGTAATTTTTCTGATGGAGGATCTGTGGGCCTGGACAGCTGTCGTCGGAAATGGACAATAGCCTGCCGGAGTGAAGAAAATGTTCACTGCTATACAGAGTAATTTAGGAGGGCTCTTTTTTTTTACTTAGAGGTGAAGGGGTGAAACAAATATTGTTTGGTCTAAAGATGCACTGAGTAAGTCTTCTGGTACAGGGTCTGACACCTGCTTGTCTTAATGGTTAAATGTTATTGCGGTGCTTAGAATATCCCGCATTAAGCTAATAATATCTCCATGGAGACAAGCAGATGACACCATCAGGCTAAGTTACAGATCAGATCAGTGGAATGACAATCTTGCTTTCAGTAAGAAGGCATATTTTCAAGGTATTTTTGAGCAATAAAAACAATTGTTATGACGTAAATGTTAGACAGATACGTTTATTGCAATACTGAAGAACTTTCCTGTCAAAGCAATAACATCTCCATGGCAACAAGTCGGTAGCGTACCCTCTACTACCTCTGCACCTTTAAGATACACGTCAGAGATGGGGACTAGTTATAATGTACTATTGTGATTTTGTGCATTGTAGTAATATCTGCTATTAATCACTAATACACTAATGTAAATGATCCGGATCCTGAATTTTCCTTTTGGATATTGTTTATGAAAATACAAGGGACTCCATGGAGAAACGGTGATTCTGTTTCCCATCCAAGAGTGTGACTTCATCTAATTTCTGAACCCGAAAGCACCCAGTTTTGTTGCTATTCATAGAAACAACTGTGGTAGCCTATAATCACTCCAAAATGTTAACTCTAATAGTCTACTGTGAAAGTGCAGTTTGAAATGACAAATTTAGCTTATTTCAAAATGTGTTTTTAATTTTGAAATGCATCTTTATGCTTCTTTATCACCAGGAGAATGTCTCAAAGGGCTGTAGACATAAAAGAAACAATAAATACAGTTTATCTTGCAGCCAGTACAGGTATTTTGTTAAAAAATGAGATCACTGTGTGCATCTGCATCAAATTTAAAGAGTTCATATTACGCAGTTTTCTGATTTATGTTATAATGTTGTTTCCTCATCAAAAACATACCTGGAGTTGTATTTTGTTTCACACATGTTTAACTCACAAACCTTGCATATTCCATAATCCTGTTTCTTCTCTCAAATTCTAAGTTCTTTTCTCAAACTGAAAACACTCTGTTCCACCTTATGATGTCATGCGGTAATACAGGAAGTGCTTCTCTGTGTTTTAAAACTCCATATACCTTCACTAGAATCATTTGGATGATTTCAGCACTGGAATTGCCAACCTCTACTAAACAAAAGGCAAAAGGTAGCTGTTAATCGGAAATTACTGCTTCAAGACTACTGCACAAGGTAGAACAGAGCATTTTGTGTTTTGGAGATGTTAACGGCAGCTAGGCTGGCTAGTGCCTCCGCTCAATTTCATTTCTCTCCAGTGACTAGGTCAGGAATCGGAATACACTAGACTGTTTGCAAAAACCCTGGAAGTGCGTGTTCGGGCACCAGCCAATCAGCCAAGAGCCATACATTCTGTGTTGGCAACGATTCCCAAGATCGAGGATTTAAAGTCGGAACAAAGAGAATGTTTGGTGAATTTTATCAAGGGGAATTGATTATTGCCCTTCTTTCTACGAGATTTAGGAAAAGCATAATATACCAATTAGCCCCATTAGTGGCCCATTACATACATCATGACCAAATAGCAACAACTGGTTAAATGAAAAAAGTACCTGCCTACCGTCGAGCAAACAAATTGTAATGCTGTGAGATCAGACGGTTTCTATGCAGTGAAATTGGCTGGTGAATCAGGCTATGTAGATAGACTAATAATAAAGGTTTACACAAACATGTGTATATGAAACAAAACACAACTCCAGGTATGTTTTTAACAACATAATAACATTATAACATGACTTAAAGCTCACAAGAGTCAATTTTGCATAATATAGGACATTTTAAGTGTTTACGAATCAGGGCAAAGCACTGGTGCGCTGTTAGCATCCTAGTTGTTAGCATGGTGTTACGGAAAGACTCTGCCCAGGCCTCTGAAAGTTGTGAAACATGCTTGTGAACTCATCACAGTGATAATTAGAATTCTAGGATGTATTTTTCATGCTTTTAAGACAGGAAAAAGATCTAGTACAGTGTCTTTAATTTCATTCTTCACATCTAAAACTTGACATCCATCTCTGTCTCCTATCATCTTCCATTAATTACACCTCGGCCCTGCTCCAGAGAAGACACGAGGAGCTGCCAGATAAGCACTGCTGAGCTCACCCGCTAATGTTGACAATGCAAACCGATCTTACTTCTAATATCTCTGTTCCCACAGCCCGCAGTATCAAAGACAATGGCCCCCAGATCAGGTGCTACTTGTAACAACATCTCATCAGCTATTTCTGTTTTAAGTAGAAACGCATAATGACCAAACTTTCTCCCTTTGGCACTTCGAGAGAGCTTAGACTGGATTTGAAAAATAATCCCGCATGTATCCTCGGGCAGTGAATTCCTTTACAATGGAGATTAGCGACGAGAAGGGTCATATAAGATCCACTTTAGCATCACTTTTTCAAAGGAGCAGACAGCAGGCTTTCAATGAAGTGATCGCCACACCATTACGCCTTTCTTGTCTGGTAGCGGAGATTGGGTAATCTTTTAAATTAGCAGCTTCGTGTACTGACCGACTAGGTTACAAAGTGAAAGTGTTTGTGTGGCATGGTTGGAGGAGGGAGATAGGGCTTAACAAGGCAAAGCAAACGCTTGAATCAAAGGGGATGTGAAAAGGTTAAATCATTGAACTCTAAGCTGTGGAGGAATGCAGGTCTTCAGGGAGAGTTGGGTTCTCAGAGATTGTGATGTAAAATGCGTTTGGGTCTTTTGTCCGTGAGGAGATGGTGCTGTTACTGTAATGTGGGAGCTTCAGGTGGAAGCACTGTGAGATACGATTTTGATTAGGGATGTAACAATAATCGAAATATCGTGATATCGTATCGTCAAAATTTTCACAATAATATCGTGGACCATAGCAATATATCGAATTACAAGTCTCTTCACTTAAATTAAGAGTTATGGTGCAGCAATAAGACAGAGGGAACTACATAGACCATGATCTTTTGCTCCATTTCAGTGTAGACTTCATGAAGAAATAAGTTATAAGCACTTTTAAGTCTTAATTCTTTGGATTAAGTCTTGTCAAGGAATTTTAAGAGGATAAAGTAGCATATTAACAGTTTTGTCTCCACAAAATATCGCAATAAATATTGTGCCGTGAGATTTATATTGTGAAAATATTGTACCGAGAGATCTGGATATTGTTACATCCTTAATCGTGATACTCCCCACCATATTGTGAGTTTTCCCACAATATCGTATAAATATTGTATTGTGAGACTTTGAATATTGTTACACCCCTAATTTTGATATTTTAAATGAGGTTTGCTGTATCTTTACCTGAGTATTAACGAGTAGGTAATTGAATTTGTTTGTTTTGCAGGCTGTGTGATTTAAAGGGCCCATATTACGCTATTTTCTGATCTATGTTATTATTATGATGTTGTTTCCTCATCAAAAACATACCTGGAGATTTTGTTTCATTCAAACATGTTTGAGTAACCCTTTATTTTAAGTCTGTCTACATCTCCAATACTCAAAATGCTCTGTTCCACCTTATGATGTCATCAAGCAGTAGCTTACACAGCTTTTGTTCAGAAGAGATTGGAAATTGGGTCTTAAATCATCCAAAGTATTATAGTGGAGGGAAGAAAATAATCTAAATATGCAGGGTTTGTGTGTTAAACATGTGTGAATGAAACAAAACACAACTCCAGATATGTTTGCAATGAGGAAACGACATTATTACAGATGAGAAAATAGCTTAATATGGGCCCTTTAAATCACAGTGTCCTATAAAATAGAACTTTATATGTCAAGATTGTTTCAAGATAAAAGAGAATTTTCTCTTCAGCGTCGCTTATTCAGGGAAACCCCACCCCCATTGCAGACAGTCACACACATTTAAACTAACACTAACTAATGGGGCTCTATCTCCTTGGCCCTCACCTGCTGCCCGGTCCATGAGGCAGTAGTCGGGGGAGTTTTCCACATAGACCAGCTCGTTCTTGGTATTGCCCCTGTAGTCTCTGTCGGCCACTCTGAAGCCCGTCCCGTCCTGGTTCATGATGACCTCCACGGCAGAGTTGTATTTCTTAAAAAGGTAGTCCCCCGTCTGCCTGAAGTCCGCCATGGCCATCCAGCAGGTCCGGAGGGAGCAGGAGCCACTCACCCCGTGACACTTACACTCGGGCTTCATGAAGCGCTTCACTGCCTGCAGCAAGGTCAAAGGTCAGAGGGCACAGGGTTTAGACGGAGGGGGGTGGAGGTGTGTTCAGGCAAAATCTTACAGGTGATACTTAAGAGATTCCACAGCAAAACTCAAGATAAATTGACTTTATTCACAAAATAAATGTAATGTTTCCAAGTTTTGATGGGCCTAGATTTATTCACTCACTTCATTTATTTTTTAAAGGTCCTATATTATGCAAAATTGACTCTTGTGAGCTTTAAGCCATATTATAATATTGTTTCCTCGTTAAAAACATACCTGTGTTTTGTTTCATTCACATGTTTGAATAATCCTTTATTGTTAGTGTGTCTCTAAAGTTCAAAATGCTTATCGTGAAGTGATTTTCATGTTAAAAACTACCTTTACCTTTCAGCAAATTCCAGGGCTGAAACTATCCCAGTGTCTCCAGTAAAGGTGTATAGAGTTTAAAAACACTGTAGAGATCTTCCTGTATTACCGCATGACATTATAAGGTGGAACGAGGTGAGTGAACTCAGCCTAAATATGCAGGGTTTGTGTGTTAAACATGTGAATGAAACAAAACACAACCCCAGGTCTGTTTGTGATGAGGAAACATTATAACACAGATCAGAAAATAGCTTAATATGGGACCTTCATACACACAAAATTGCAACTTAACTATTATTATTATTCCTCTATGAGCGCTGTAAAACATTGAGGCATTAGTCGTAACACTTCTTTTCAATTATAATCTATGTATGTATCCTCGACTGAACTGGAGCATGTCTGCCAGTCTTTGCAAACAGTCTTTTTGACCACCACTAATCACTCTCACACACCACATTCACATATAGACAATAGATAATGTGGGTTAAGTGTCTTGCCCAAGGACACGGCTGTATGCAATGGTCTGAGTTGTGATCATAACAAGTTTTCTGTTTCAAATGTTCAAACTTGCATAATCCCCACATGAAAAATGGGACTAAACTGTGAGCAAATCCAAAACTAAACCAACACTAGACCAGGACTAAACCACAACTATAACAAACCAAATATTAGGATTCAAGCTAAGTCTAAGCCAAGATCAAACCAGGACAAATGTTACTGCAGCAGATACATTGTCACACCAGATAGTCACTTGCCACCATTAACTAGCCATGCATTCCAAATAGGAAGTGTTCATGGGAGCACTTCCGGCTCCATCGTTGACTTTACGCTGAAAAATTGTCACCCCTCTCTCTTCAACTGCTGCTGTGAGCCTCGTCATTTTGGTCTTAAAATGTTCGTATTAACCCACTCTACATGATCCTGGTGTTTTCATTTTGCTATTTTGTCTGTAAATAAATTCCTTTTCCTAATATGGATCTGGCTCCAAATTTGCCCACTATTCCTGCTAGCATTGTGAGCTTCAGTTGACTGGAGCTGAACGAATCCGTGTATCATTCATTCATTTGTTTTTCAATATAAAACCAAAAATTAGAAAATGAAAAAAACAAAGTAGGTTTCCACATGGCTTTCCATCTCAGAGCTGCTGTCTCTTTTGCTCCTCCGCTGCGCATGGTGTCTTGCTTAAGGATCAAAATTGGACAAAACGAGAAATAGCCTTTTCCTTTTTTTCCATTTTTCATTTAAACACAAAATCGAAAACTGAAAAAAAAAAAATTAAAAATCCTTATCAGTTTTTTCATTTTGGTTTTGTAGACAAATAATGAAGAAATCAGTTGTTTTTTCTTTTTCTTATTTTTGGTTTTATATTGAAAAACGAATGAACGAATGATGCAGGTGACGTCACACTCCTTTAGTCCACTTCTTTATACAGTCTGTGCTTACCAGTGATATCTTCTTCTTGACCCCTCCCTTTCCTCACAAAAACTTCCAAATAAAAAATGTAAAAGTTCTCCTATGCTTCCCTGCTTCTCACTCACCTCTTCAGACTGGCCTATGAGACCCTGAAATTCCTTGATCCATCCACTGATGTGTCCTCCTGTGTCCTCTGTTTGTTTTATTGTTTTTACCTTGTATCTTTGTGACTTTCTTTCAGGACATTCATTATATTGTTATTATTCTCCTAAAGAGAACCTCAACATCTTCATCTCTGCTTCATATTTGTCTCATTACCACTCAAATCCACACATCTCTTGCTGAACTACAAGGTTGCTCACCATTCGGCCACAGCGATTGTTATGCAGGTTCATGAGCGCCCGGGCATCTCTCACACTCCTCTCCTGGGCGTCGATGAAGGCCTTGGCGAAGCGTATGCCATAGTGGATGTTATCGCTGCAGCCGCCCCAGTCGAAGGTGCCCCGGTGGTCTGTGCCCTGGCCTCTCCTCTCGTCACAGCCGCACATTTTCAGCTCGCCCTGACCGCACGCCCTGGTTATGGCATACACCACCCCGGCCGAAGAGATGGCATACACGAACGCCGCCTCTCTGCTGCCTGCATGAGGACACAAAACACAGGTATATTTTGTCTTCAGAATTATTTAGAATTGTGTTTTGTTTTTGAGTTTTTGTAAACTACCACTATCATGACTACAAATGACCAGTTATTAAAAAGGGACATGACTTGGTGGATGAGGATTGACTTATTCAATACAATTTACAATATAATTTAATTTAAAAAAAACAAAAAAACTGAAGATCTGCATTTTTTTTAAATATTTGTTTTATTTATTTTAACACTGATCTATTCGAAATACTTTATGACAACCCACAAATTAAAAATGAGGTATTTATTTTTATGCATTAGATGAGTCCATGTAAGCATGATCTTATTTCCATCCGCTCCATCCCCCATTCACACCTAGTTCAACACTGCAGGAAAGTCTTGCCCAAAGACACAACGCCACTATGCACTGGTCCAAGCTTCGAACCACCACTACTGCCATGTACCCAATTTATTTCCCACGTATTTGAGCTAAATTTGTCTTGCCCCAGTACAGATATATTGTATGAACAGCTCTTGAGCTCAAAATACGTCTGCTGTGTACTGTCTGCAATAAAAAAGTTTTATTGTCAGTAATCAGAAAGTGCACATTAGCATGTTGCTGTTTTATACCATCAACAAAACTCTGCTTTAGTCTTGGAAAACTGTGAAAAACACTTATAAACTCATTGAGGTAAATAATTAGGATGCTTTAAAAACATAATAACTTTAACTTAGGACCATCACAAACTGCTCAAAACAAAGTATCTCTGTTTTTCACATTTTTAAGAAAATTAAATCAGGTATAGGAGAAGTAAACATAAACAGTATGATTTTTTTTGGTTGGGGGACAGTTGAAATCATATCATCGCAAAAACATTTCACAGAGGGACACTGCTTTTGAGATCCAGGTGTCAGTCTGAGCTCCACATGTGCACAGATGATGTCCGTCGCTGTCACTGGCCTGTGTGTTTTCATTTGAGAGGAGCAGAGAGGAGAGGACATTTCAGGGGTCTTTTTGGCCTGTTTTTTTCCCACCCACCTCCCCACTCTCATTCCTGCTCACGCAACCGAGCAGAACACAGGCGGTATGTCAGGGAGTAGCGCTTTGTCTGCTAGCCAGAAACTTCCACCCAAATATTTACATCTCCTATTACTGTTTATACATCAGCACTGGAGATCTCTCAATCTGCTACTTGTTTTTTTGTCAGAGGAACGGAGCACTTTCTCAATAGGCCAAAGTTGACACCTATTAATTCTGCTATTATCTGGATGACGTTTACGAGAGTCATCTTCCTTGGTATAAACAGACGTTGTCACGCAAGGGCTGAAGAGGTAGAACGGTTTTAAATGTGACAGTCAGTTTGAAATTAGTTTTTGTTCACATTTTTACTTTCGATTTCAGGCAGTATTTAGTCCTAATTTGTCGATAAAATTGTAATAATAATAAAAAAAATCATTTAATGTCCCAAATATTTTCACATAGATGTCCCCAGCGTATCAAATTATTCTGACACATAATTTTTGGAGCAATATGTAGCCTCCTAGGACTTCGTCTCCACATATATGGACATATACAGAATGTCCAACACATTTTGGGTTGTTCAGGCACTTAATAAACAGTTTTTGCAAATCATTATTCATTTGTGACTTTACTGTGTTCCATGATTAAAACATAAAATGAATGTGAAAATGATTGTAAAATGAATTATATATTATATGTGGACATCATTTTTCTCAGAAACTACACCATGTAAAAATTTTAATTCTTTGTTTTTGCACTCATCATCAGTACTCATAAAGTATGTCAGGCAAGAGTTCAGGTCCTAGAAGGTAAAAAATATCGACTGTCTGTATCAACATAAAAAATCCATAATGAACCATCCCCTGTCTGATTGTGAAAATGCAATTGAAAATGACTTTATATCAGATTTGTATTTTGGATTGTTTCATTAAGAGCTTGAATAGACTACTCTCCTCTTGTTCTTTTTTTTATGAGTGGACAAAAATATATCTACACTACCAAAGATCTGGACTCACCCTCTCATCCAGTGTTTACTACTTTCTACATTTGATACATACAGAAGATATCAATTATATGAAGTAAGATGTATGGAATTATGTAAGCAAAGGGGGAAAGTATGGTAGTGTATATCTGTAGCCATCACTGAGTACCCTATATTTGGTTTACATCTGCTAAATATTTCAGCTCTAAAAACTATGACAAAACTTTACTGTATCTTACTTCGATGCATGGCCTGTCAAAAGTGGCGATGGCTGCGGTCCTGGTTTACCTTTTATTTGGTTTCCATCCATAAACTCTTACATAGACAAACACTGTGACAGAACATATTAGTAGAGTATATTAGTAGAGCAGAGTAACTTACTTCGATGCATAACGCGTCCAAAGAGGCTGTGGTCACGGTCGAGAGTGCTACAGTTCCAGCGATGGTGTCTGAACTGGTGTTGACACTCTTTGATCCACTCTTTGGCGCCCTCCCCGATGGACTGCATCAGGTCTGGGTGTCTCTGGCAGAGCTGGCGCTGTTTGTTAACCAGACCGGGGATGTGGGAGCAGATCACTCTCGCCCCCAGAGCACCAATGTACCTGGAATTACAACAGACAGTGAGATTATACAGAGAGATAGGAAGATTATAGGGAGGTTTAACAATGCGTTTTTCACTCGTAATGGCAATGATGAAGGGTAAGAATTGGTTAAGTCATCCCCTGCTATTTTGATCACAGTAAGAATTAGATTAAATTTACTGAAGATTTATTTGGCAGGAATCAGCATAATATGAAAATCCTAAACTGCGCCAATCAAAACATCCAAAAAAGATAAAATATTCCCATAAAAGTTAACATTATAAATATACAGTGTCTGGTAGAAAGATACAAGGAAACAATTTAAGAATAAAATAATCGAAGAGCCCGAACTTTCTTCTTTGAGAAGTCTGGATGGTGAATTTTCACTGAGCTTGCCCAACCCAAAACATGCACACAGACTAATCCATCACAGGCACTTCTGACATTGAATCTAGCTCAGGGAAAAGAGGATATTTTTTTTCTTAAAGGGATAGTTTGGAATTTTGGACATAGGACCTCCTTTCCTAGTGAGCCAGAGTGTTGGAGACGTGTGAAGACACTTTTTTAAAATATTCCATCCAGTCTTTGTATTTGCAGAGGTCACTGGTGCTAGGCTAGTGCATGTCAATGGCCATAGTTAGCCTGCCACTAAAAACAGTCTTACCCACTCCACAAAACACCTGAAACAAATCTATTATTACACCAGACTGTCGCTGTGAATGTCTTGTGTCGATAGAATAATGTTTGAAATAAAACTAACCTTGCATCACATGAATTGTCGCATGTTGAGGGACTATTTTCTCAGCAGCAGCAGAATTTTACTTTGCCAGAAAGAGGTGATATCAGTCCGCCACTGCCAAGCTTTCTATCAGGAAGTGCAACTCGCTGCTGCTCTGACATAAATCCCTCAAATGCAAGGTTGGTTTTACTTCTAAAATTATTCTATTGACACAGACATTCACATTGACAGTCTGGCATTATAATTGTTTTGCCTTGTGTGTTTTGTGGAGTGGGTAAGACTGTTTTTAGTGGCAGGCTAATTATGGCCATTGACATGCACTAGCCTAGCACCAGTGACCTCTGCAAATACAAGGATTGGATGGAATATTTTAAAAAGTATATCCACACGTCTCCAATACTCTGGCTCACTAAGAAATGAGGTCCTATGTCCAAAATTCTGGACATAGGACCTTAACATACTAGGAGAGGGCAATATACCAAAATATTTTTCCTCATTATGACAAGTCACAATTTTTGATCAGTTTGATTTTGTCATATCCAAGGAAGCAAAAACGGTTGTCAATATAATATAATTTTCTGAACATGAACTACACTAACATTTAATCATTGCAATTTAGCCCCCAAAACAGTCACATTTATTCCTTCAAAGTCTGAGCTCCAAACCACATGCTTTCACTGACAGGGGATTGGCTGTACCTTTCTTAAAAAGCCCCAAGTTGATCATTGATGACTGGAAATGAACTGGTCTCCGTCTCCATCAAAATTCAGTTAATTGCACAGCCCAATAACTTAGCTAACCTAACAAAAACCTAACCCTTTGTCCTACACTGTGGCTTAGTGGTTTGGTCACAGCGCACAGTCAAGGCTCTCACTTTTGTTCCAATGTTTTGATGACCTAAAGTTCTCCCACCACCCCTCTGGTCACTGTGGTTATCCAATGGGCTGGACATGACTTTGGTCAACTCATCATGTTTTTTTCTGATATTCCGGTTCTCAGTAATAATCAGAATTGACTACATTATGGACTCACAATTATACTGTAATAGTTTGGTGGTTAGATAGACAAACTTCAAGTCCAGCTCGCATACCTGATGGGCCAATGTTCACAAGCATTTATCAACCTTTTTACTAAAATATTTGAAAACTTGGAGTGATATATGTGTTTTGCAACATTATTTGGCTTTTTCTCAATATGAGGTTAATCTTATATAATACTGTGGAACATTCCAGGCAAAGCAACAAAATCTCAGTGGAAGCAAGCCCATTGCTGACAGGTGGAGGGCCCTTTACCAGAAAGTTGCATAGTGTAACTTTGACCTCTTCCTTCTCAGACAACCTGATTCAAACTCTTACAGAGTTTACAAAAAGACAAAAGCATCAAAACTTCAAAATAATTCTGTTGCTTGAACATGTATCGTGATTAACCACACACGTAGGCATGTAATACGCTCCATGACACCACATTTCATTTTATTTCTTCAATAACTGGTGGTTTAGGGGCACAAAGAACAATAAAATCTGTATGTATCAACCAACTCTTTACATCTTCAGTCACCCTGGTACGTTCAGTTGCAAAAGAAGGTGGGATTCTGTCAACTGGACCAAAGTTTTCATCCAAAAAGCTTCCTCATTATAGATGCAACCCTGGTAATGAAGAGAGATCTTTATACCACCTCAAATTGTAGAAAAAGAAACATTGTAAAGACACATTTTTGAATCTGGGGTGGAGAGATTGGAATTGCAATAGGTGCCAACATATCACAACCCAGATTTTTTCTTTTTAATAATGTTTGGAAGAAAAAAAAAAATCTAACTTTTCATAATTCATGGCTCCAAAAAGGTTACTGAAAAAGTTTGATGAGTAGCGAAACTTATTTGTTCCAGAATAAATTGAATTAGAGTTGGAAGACGTGAGGCTTGGAGTTCTAACACACAAGACATTTATTAATATTTACCATCAGTACAGGACCCTGAACCCTCAAAACATTGTGTTAGTATTGCCCATTCAAGTTTAAAGACCCATATTATGACATTTTTTGATTTATGTTATAATGTTTCCTCAACTATGGTCATGAGCTCTGGGTAACGACCGAAAGGACGAGATCGCGGATACAAGCGCTCGAAATGAGTTTCCTCCGCAGGGTGGCTGGGCGCTCCCTTAGAGATAGGGTGAGGAGCTCAGTCACACAGGAGGAGCTCGGAGTAGAGCCGCTGCTCCTCCACGTCGAGAGGAGCCAGTTGAGGTGGCTCGAGCATCTGTTCCGGATGCCTCCTGGACGCTTCTCTCGGGAGGTGTTCCGGGCATGTCCCACTGGGAGGAGGCCCCAGGGAAGACCCAGGACACACTGGAGGGACTATGTCTCGGCTGGCCTGGGAATGCCTCGGGGTCCCCCCGGAGGAGCTGGAGGACGTGTCTGGGGTGAAGGAAGTCTGGGAGTCCCTGCTTAGACTGCTGCCCCCGTGACCCGGCCCCGGATAAGTGGACGAAAATGGATGGATGGATGTTTCCTCTCATAAACAGATCTGGAGTTGTGTTTTGTTTCATTCACACATTTAACATACAAATCCTGCATATTTAGGCTGAGGTCTTCTCTCAGACAGAAAACACTCCACCTTATCATGTCATGTGGTAATACAGGAAGGGCTCCACTGTGTTTTTAAACTCCATACACCTTCACTCATTTTATCATTTTGATTATTTCAGGAATGATGATTTCCTTGGAATTGCCAATCTCTACTGAACTAAAGGTAAAAGGTGTTAACTACTGATTCGTGGCATGAGAAGACAGAACAGAACATTTTGAGCTTTGGAGATGTAGTTAGACTAATAAAATGACTTATGTGAATGAAACAAAACACAACTCCAGGTATGTTTTTGAGAATGTAACAGCATTATAACATGACTAAAAGGTCACAAGAGTCAATTTTGTGTAATATAAGGCCTTTAAACATATCTATTTTTCTGTTGTAGGGAGTATTATAGCTCAGGATGACATAAGCCAAGATAACAAGTACTGTGCTGGCAATAATAAGTATTCAAAAGTAATTGTCCAGTTAACAGAATTGAACCTTCTTCTACATTTATGAGGCATTCATCTAAACCCATTTGTCCACTTCAGGATGTGGAGGAGATTATTGAATTCCTGCGGTTCAACCAAGAGCTTTGACAGGCCCTGCGCTTCCTGCTCCATTCACACATAATCCTCCAGTATGGTGTCACACTACTCTAACTCCAGACCTCCAGACCAGAGTACAGTCATCTACAGTACGGCTCCCAGCCATTTTCCCATAGTCCTTCTCCTAAGCCTGCACGCTCCGCTCCCCATCCGGATATCATCATTATAGTCCCTAATCGCAATTGTGTCGCACAGAGACACACGTAGGTAGCAGGCAGTTTCCACTCCTGTTATGGCCTGTCCCGGGTGGAGGTGTAGCCATGGCTGAGCAGTAAAGCAGAGCAGAAGCAGTTCTTGTGTTTATTGTGCTGGACAGAAGAGCCGTGCCAAAAGACCTCTGCAGCAGCGCTGTCTAAGAGGGCCCAGGCAGATACAGATGAAGATGGAGCAGATGAAACAGGAGATAAGGCATTGGTTGGTATGGTTGCAGTACTTGTAAATGGGCCCCAAGAATGTGAGACATGGCGTTACGGTTGCATCAGCAACTAATTAGTTATTTAATAGTCCACAAGTCAGCAATTGTATTGTAATACATTTTAATATTGTTTAATCAGATCAAAAGTGTTTTAAGCCGGGTGTACACTGCACGATTTTGGCTGTCACAAAAGATTTCTGATTGTGGGTTGTAGTCATAGCTCCAAATTGTGTGTTGGAGGTCTCAGACTGAGACCACGACAAAGATCATAAGATTGTTCGTACATCTTTGGTCATACGAGCAAAGACGAGTTGTGACCGATATCAAGCATCGGTGTTGTGGTCAACAGAAAACAAAAGCACTCGAAAGAAGAGCTCCACCATGAAGAGGACCATTTCTCCCCTTTTCTCTTTCATGTTTTCACTTCTGGACTTTTACAAAAATGAAAAGACCACTAGTACATAGCGCTATCCACAACTAACTGGTACACTTAGGGAGATATAACCACACTGAACATGGAGCCAAATAATCACTCTGACAAACTTTCGTACAATCACAGAGTGTCCATGTGTGTTGTTGTATGATTTCAGTTTTTCTCGTCATGCTGTGTGACATCCAAAAATGTTAACAAAAAACAAGTCACGCAGTGGGCACCAGTCATTAGAGTCTGTAGAGTCTGAAAAACAATGATCAAAATACAATTATAATGATTTAACTAGTCAGCTAACCACTTTTCCAATTAGTTGTTGTTGTCCTTCATGGAATAGACTGTTGTCAATTGAGATTGTATGACATCTCAAGTTTCAATGAAACCTTGTTAAATCTGAGGTGGAAGGCAGTTCAGAATTAACTTCAGACAAATAGATTTTTAGAACTAGTTTATGATTATATGTGTTACTGACACAAAGTGCACCATCCTCACAGTTAGCACAATGAACTGGCAAAAAAAAGGAAACATTTGACATTTCTGGATTTTTAGCTGACCTCTGTCCTCACTCTGAAATTTTGACATCATCAAAATCTACCATGCAAATGCAAGTTATTGTCATAAACAGCTTTATGTGGAACCACTGTGCTGAGGGCAAATGTGGTGACTCATAACTCTTCTGAATGGAGTCAGCATCTCTTGTTCTTTCTTCCCTCTTCTATTCATAGGTCCATAAATAGTCCTCTGTCAGTCTTTCTAAATGTCAGTCATGTCACTAATGAACATTGACAACTGTACCTGTCTGAGTCTTTTACAGACATCCCATAATGCCACTGGCTCAAATGATAATATTGTGCCATTTCTAGAACAGTGGGTCTGCCTTCTAGTAAATTTGAGATGAGGATCTGTATTACGCTATTTATGTTTTGTTTTATTCACACATGTTTGACACATCCTACATATTTAGGCTGAGTTCTTCTCTCAAACAGAAAACACTGTTCCACCTTGTGATTTCATGTGGTAATACAGGAAGTGTTCCACTGTGTTTTTAAAGTCCTTACACCTTAACTAGAGTAATTTGGATGATTCCAGCCCCACAACTGCTAATCTCTACTGAACAAAAGATTAATGACATCACAAGGTGGAACAGCGCATTTTCACCTTTGGGGATGTAGAAGGACTAATAACACAGGATTACGCAAACATATTTGAATGAAACAAAAAGACAATGCCAGTTATGTTTCTGATGAGGTGACAATGTTAGAACATGTCTTAAAGATCAGTTTTGCGTAATACAGGACCATTAATTGATGGATTGAAAGTTGCATAAATACACTTGGAAACTTGCAGATGTCAAAATTGAATGTTACTTGGATTAAAAAATACTTCTATTCTACTGTGACATGTTTTTGCATCATGTAGAGTATTGCGTAATCCTGTATCAAATAAACCCATGCATTCTCCTGGGCCAGCACGATGAATAATTTGCTGTGTCATGAATGACTATTTCCACTGCTCATCAGAATACTTGATCTAGAAAGACTCACATTGTTACCCAAAAATCTGTAATATTTCACAATATGGACTCAGATTCACTTCATGACAAGTGCAATTTAGCAGAAATTTAAATACAAAAAAGTGAAATGAAACTCCAAAAATGTGTGTTTTGGTGCAATACCGCTGAAACTCAGACTTTAACTTGGCCTTATCTTGACTCTCCAATCCAGTAATCACTTCATTAAGAGGTCATATAACGTTTTATAGCTCAATAAAAAGTTATTATGAACACTTTTAAAGAACATTTTCACACAAAGGAATATACTTTGCTGCAGGTGGAACCGCTCAATTTAAACACTGTATGTATTTATTTACGGGCGACACTTTATATGTTGTAGCTTAGGATTTTGCCTCTGTCCTCGGGGCTGTTAAAGCCTCCAGAGAAATCATCAAGGGGCATAAATTCACGCACCAGCGCCTGCACCTGCCACTTACGCTGGGCAAGATGAATGGACAGGGGGGCGCGCAGGCTGCGTCATCAATCTTCATAAAGACGTGACACACACACACACACACATACAAACACACACACACACACAAACACACACATCGCAACAGTTCGCTTACAACGTCCCCATCAAGCTACCCATTACGCACAACTTTATCAAAAAACAATTAACGTATTTGTAACTACTGGAGACCACATTTCTTAATTGAGTAAGTCTGAACAAAAATTTAATATTGACCACTGCAAAATGCGTGTACAAAGTTTACAAACTGACTTATGGTATTGTCGCCTTATGGCTCAAGCTCGAAGTTATAACGGAATTCATAGTCAGCAACAAGGCTATTCTAATGCAAATGATGAAACAATAGAAAACGATTGATTGCACTGCTTACCACCACGACGAATCCACTCTAGGCGTAAAAATGAGCAGCAGCAAGATACTACACAGGTACACCTTGTGGCACGCGGGTTTGGAGTGATGCTTTCTCGGTACAGTTTTGCTCCCCATCGCACTTCTCCTGCCGCGCGCCAAACTCCGAGAATCCGTCAGCTCAGACAAGGTAAGATTTGTCATTCATGTATTGGCAAAAGCGGCACAGTCGGGTATCGAATCGGTCCCCTGCGCTTGTTCGCCGTCCATCATCGGAGAAGTGAAAAGAGAAGTCCTCGGAGTCCACTTAAGCGCTTATAAACTCCATCAACTAGACGCCTCCCGAGTCTAGCGCTACCTTCACTGACATGTTGAGCAATAAATTAACAACTTATCCTCGGTGATAAATCAAAAAGGGGTACGGATAATGTCTTGAAACCCGTTGGTGAAGAGCACAAGTAGTTTTCCCTATACTGGACAGGATTGCGCGCACTGGAGAGCTTTTACGCACGAGAAAGAAGATGCGACCGACTTCTCTCACAGCGTCAACTGTTTGTGTCCTCCTACCCTATCGCTCCCCGTGTTCAAAACCTCAAACTCCCTCCCCTTTTACAGCGTAGACTGGGACTGCTACTCATTAGGAAAGCTAACCAAGCCACTAAATGGAAATGATGGCTTGTGACTGGTTCATGGGGGAAACTGGGATTTTGGTTAGTAACCGCTGTCCACCACGGGTCAAGCTTCATGTCACGACACATCATTAAACAGAGACTCTATAGAGGCAATTACTCCCAAGGGGCATTTTAGACATACACGGAGTCATGTGACAATTAGATGACTATTAGCTAACTGGTCTGAACCAAAGGCACCAATTAAGTTCATTAAAGTAAAAGTACTGCATTAGTTCTCCCTATTTCTCTGTCACCAGCGGAACATGTTCAACAAATTCCTAGACTAGTTTCATGCTGGAGAGTGGACAAGGCTTAAAGCTTATTATTAGATGTAGTTTGTCTCTGTCTTCAGCAGGCTCTTGTCTCATCAACAGTTGTGAGACAAGACCAGGTCATTCGCCAAAAGTCTGTTTTCCTGGAAATATTTGACCCAACTCAAGTTCATTCTTAGCTTTCTTCTTTGTAAACTTTCTATGTCTACAAGTTTGTAAGGTAAGTTAAGGTTTGTTCACACTGTAACACAGTCGCCCGCAAAAATCACTTATATTTGAATAGTGCCACAGATAATTACAGAATTGTGAAACTCTAACTTAGAATTTAGATGATATTTCACGCTATGGTCAAGAGAAGATGTAGTCCTCAGCTGCAGAGTAAGTCTTGTGTATAGGGAGAGATGCTCGGAGTAGAGTCACTGCTCCTCCACATTATAAAGGACCGTTTGTGTTTTCTTGCACCTATGTTTGTGCTCTCTCTTGTACTCTCCCAGGTGTTTTTGCTCCACTGGACAGAGATCTAATAATGACTGTAGGCACACACTGAAGGAACAGCGGGCATCTTGGGCTCTGATAAACTTATTAACATCATCAAACCGTATTTGTTCTTAACCAACCAGGTTGCTGTCGTAATGAATACAGTCAGCGTCCGTGGTTACAGTCAGAAATCCACAATGTGACTGCTCAAATATTCTTGTGGAACTGAGTAATTTGTTCCTTGATTTTTATATACATTATTCTGAAGTAGACTTGTTTACAAAAAGTAAAAAACATCTAAAGAACCCCAGCTAACTTCTGTTTTTTCCAGAAGGTAACCAGAGCCAAGAGCATGTGGCATGTATTCATGTTTGTCCTCTCTTTTGTCAAACTCAAAATTAGATCGGTGCATAAAACGGTTCCACTTCTCCAAGACCCGCTCACAAATAGCCCTCATATCCCAGCTGTTTGTCCTTCAGCCTAAACGTCATATCTCGATTTAGACTCCCAATCACGACCCCAGTGTCTTTCTTTACCTCCATATTCTTTCTCTGTCATCTCCAGGACAAATTGCTTTACACTGAGCAGGTAATAACAGCAGTACCACACACCATCCAATCCTGTGCTGCTTTGAGCCTGCTCCAGCTGTGCTCTTTAAAGGCACCTATTCTGGGAGCATCTCATGGACATGGCTAATTTGGGAGTGAGGATCTAGTGGAGGAAAAGCAGAGAGGAAATGATTGAGAGCACAGAGCAGTTGATAGACACTTGGGTATTTGAGCTTCTTGGACTGGGCTGAGGTGAGGGTTGTAAATGTGACGGACAGCATATGACAAAAGAGCATGTTGCTTCCTTGACCGCAATATTGTCATTTCAGAGTGACACCGCTGCCATTTGTAAACTATTACACACACTGGGGATAATAATATATGACTAGGAGCAAAGAGGAACAACATCAATCAAGACTTTAGCATTATAAATGTAATGAAAAGTCTTTTGCTTTGGTTTAACCTGGATCGTTCCAGATTAATATTTGTAGCACATTTATCACTCTGGAATGGCTCTTGCTGAAAAGTGATTGGGGGAAATATCTGACATGATGAACCTTTGAGTTTGACTGGTCGAAGAAGACATCGTTTTGGTTTGTTTGGGTGTTTCACTTTTGGTTTCCGCCCAAACCACAATGTTGCCCTCTGACTGGTCTGGATGACTACTTAAGTGAGCTATCGCAACAGTGGGAGGCATGGCCAGATGGATTCTTAAGTGTTTATGAACTCCCAAATACCTCCAGAATTCATCTTGCTGGTCAGGTCCCACTGGAGGGGACCCACTGGAGGGTCTATATGTCTCTCAGCTGGCCTGGGAAGACCTCGGGATCCCTGCAGAAGAGCTTGAGAAAGTGTGTTTGGAGAGGGAAGTCTGAGCATCCCTGCTTAAACTGCTGCCTCTGCAGCCGACCCTGGATAAAGCAAGAAGAAATTGTCAGATTAACTGTAAGTGCATGCTGTTGTTGTGTCCTTGGGTAAGAAACTACATCCCCTTTGTGCAACTTTTGCATGTTTCCCATGCAGAGTCAAGAATGGGTTTTCTACAGGTTGCTACAGTTTTCTCTCACAAAAGTAAACTTTGCACAATAAACTAAACCTCCAGATAGTTACTATTAAATCAAGGTTCTGCCCTGCGGTTGCCCACCAGTCCTGACTCTGACTCTGCATGGAGGATGGTTGCAGACGGCAGATTTTCCTACTGGCTGTGGACGATAAAGTGTGGCTTAACCTTAAAACAGAGGAACAAGTACATAATGTATTTCACAGATTTAGTTATTTTTATTTTTTTATTTTATTTTTTTTTGAGTTTGTGATGACTTTACTCAGAATTAATGTGATAGTGAAATTTTGTGGTTGATAGTTTCTCAGAAAATACTAGAATATACTATGTGTGAACAAAATATAAACAATATGTATGTAAAAAGTTGGACTTTGGCCGAAACAGCAGCGACCAATTGATATGTTGCTTAATTGATTACTGTCTAAATTTAGACAACATGCGTTGATTTAGAAGTACTATACACAAATATATACACATGGAAGTACTCAGTACACAGAGGAAAAACTCAGTGATGTACTATTGTAAGATGATAGCTGATGCTTGGCACTTTGCTAACTGTAAACCAAAATTATATTGGCCTGACTATAAAATCTGTGCATTTATCACAGTGATTGATCCAAAATGACATGAGGGACACAACTTAATGTTCTATGAAGATCTATTATTGTGAAACAGAAACCATCTTAACACCAGAGCAACTTAACTGTGAGTTCATCCAACTCTGATGAAATCAATGAATGCATTTTTTACATTTTAAACTTTCAAAATCTATGAAATACAGACTCAAAATCACCGGCTTGTGTTATATTTGGATTTGTTGTGGACTAAAATACCTATCTCTGTGGAGACAACAACTTCCCTAAGCTATTACTAATGTGTGAAAACAAGATTAATGCCCCACTGTGGGACAATTCCATGTGTTGAATGTAAGCCAGTATATTGCGTGGCCTGGCTGACAGTGTTACAGTCATTTGTCTTATGTCAGAGTAGTAGCTGCGGTCTGGGACATAGAGGAGAGGAAGGGGAGTCTGTGGTGGGACAGGCCCCTCACAGCTCGTCAACCTGAGCTAGTGTTTATGGAGGTTGGAAGCGCCAGGCTTAGTTAGCTGGGGGGGCACGAGTGATTTGGGATATCCTGCATCTTATGTGGTTACAAGGTGGGGCTGAGTGAGAAGAAGTGAACGAATAATGAGTCTTTTTTTAAAGGTTTTATATGACACAAAATTGATTCTTGTGAGCTTTAAGACATATTATAATGTCATCCTCATTAAAAACATACCTGGAGATGTGTTTTGTTTCATTCACACATGTTTGGGCAATCTTTTATTATGACTCTCCAAAGTTCAAAATACTCTTTTCCACCTAGTGATGTCATGTAGTGGTAGTGTTCAAGTTAACATCTACCTTCTCCGTTTTGTTCAGAAGAGAATGGCAATTCCAGGGCTGGAATTATCCAAATGATTCTAATGAAGGCGCATGAACACAGTGAAACATTTCCTGTGACATCACAAAGTGGTATGAGAGAAGAGCTGAGACTAAATATGCAGGATTTGTAGGTTAAACATGTGTGAATAAAACAAAGCACAACTCCAGGACTGTTTGTGATAAGGAAACATTATAACATAGTGTAATATGGGCCCTTTAGAGGTACACTATGTAACTTTTCTGGTGGAGAACCAGCCAAATGCTTGTCTCCATGGAAATGTTAAAGCTTTGCCTGGAATGTTTAAGAAATATGGCACAAAACTTTCTAAAAAAAAAAAAAAAAAAAACTTAAAAAAGCAGCCACTATGGCAAATTAGAGATCTATGTTTTTCAGATGTACTGACTTTTTTGTTACATTTTATTTTATACCAGTTGCGTTTACAACATGACAACTTTTGATTGTAAGTATGATGATTTTTAATTTTTTTTTTCTTCTAAGACTTGGGATATGAATTGAAATTTGGAAAATTCTTAAGAGGAATACATTTTGGTCTTTGGCAATAACAGAATGTACATAAGAATCTCCTTTTCACACATGCCCTTTAAAATTTTCAATACCCAAACATTTAGGTTTTGGTTTTGACACACAACCATTTTCTGCTGTCATAGAGCTCTCAAATCCTGCACTGCCCTCTAGAGGACAAAGGCCACCTCTACAATACTACAGCAGTACAAACTCTTACTCATGTCTCCATCAAGCACACAGTAACGTGTGAAAATATGACAACAAACCAAGTATAAGTTTAATACATTCATACAGTATTTATTAAATATGTTAATTTTAATATTCCAGCATGTTTAAAGGAATGATAAACAAAGCCATCATCTGATTTGATTTAATATAAAACAATGTATATAAGTGCATTGGTCTTTCATCCAAAAGTATTACAAGGTGAACTACACAATGACTTAGAGTAAAAATATACCCAGTATCTGAAGTAAAAACACTATTTAAGTATTATAAACATACTTATTTACATTTCAAAAGGACTTCTCTAATGTGAGTGTCCTTTCAAACTACTTGACAATGTACACTGGTCAAAGTACTACGACAAGTACTTACTTACACTAGGAATGGTGCTGAAGAAGAAATTAATAAGCGAGATAAACTGATCCATCTTTGTTAATATTAAAAAAGTATTGATAAAAGTAATATGCACAATTATTTAAGGGCAAAAGTAGTATCTGAACCTTTTACATTGTATACATTCTTGGGTTGGAAAGAGTCTCAGTTCATTTTCAATGGCTGGATACACGTTAATAAGCTTTAATTAAAGGTGCACTGTAACTTTTCCAGTGGATGGTCCGCCACCTGCTTGTGTCCATGGAAATGTTATTGCTTTGCTTGGAATTGCACACAGTATGACATTTAACTGTATTCATTAAATTGCAGGTGTCCTGTTACTTAAAAAAAATGCTTCGCCAATCTGACGTGAGACTTGGTGAGGAGGTGGTGCACTGTCCACTTCAAAAGTTGTACAGTGCACCTTTTACAAAGCATAAGGAAAATTTTATTCATAATGAACAAATACTCTATTAATAGTTTAAGAATGGTTCAGACTTAGTAACTACTTAATTAAAAAGTTACGCATAGAATATTAGTTTAACAGTTACAAAGACTAAGCCTAAATAAGATTTGACTACTATTTATTCTTTATGAATCATAAATTTTTCATACTTCGTTAAGGCTAATCTGAGTTGTCATTACTGAAAAGTGAAATTACATGATGTCATAAGCAGAGCAGCAATGTATTTTAAAATTATAGTCCATTTTCTTTTTTTATTAATTTTTTTATCTTAGCTGGATGACACCACCATATCCATCTCTTTGACCCCTTCCTGACTCGAAATGAGCCCACAACTTCCTGTCATAGAACTGTCGGACATATGCCCTCCAGACTTGGGCGTTGTAGCGGGCGAGGGCGGAGCTTGTGCCAGGCCAGGTTTCTTTGGGGGGATGGGCGGCGGTATGCCCCTCTCCGCCCTGGAAATAGACGGCGACTTTACACCCTGCTGCAACGCTCCAGTCGCTCGGCCGATCACAGGAGACAGGGGCGTGGCCAGGTTGCGATAATCCGTCCCGAATGGCGAGGGATTGGGCGTGGTTATCTTGGGTTGGGCACTGGTGAAGCGGGACAGGACTTGGGTGACGGTGCTTCGGGCTAGCTGTTTCACCGGGCTAGCGTCAGGAGGACTGGCTGTAGATAGTTGCTCCTTTGACGGGGGGGAAAGGGCAGGTTCGGTCTCGGAAGTGCCTTGGAATTTGTGGCGAGCGGCGTGGAAGCGTTGGTGGATTCCGGCCTGGTATGGAGATTGGTAGGAAGTGGGAGGACTGGAGGCAGGGTGTCTGGTGAGGTTTGGAGATGTGGATGGGGAGAGGGGAGGGAGAATAGTACTTTGGATGTCAGTTCCATTCTGAAGGTGAACTTTATCCAGGATTGGTCCATTGTGCCCGTTGGTCTCTGGGGGGCTGTGATGACCATTGATCTTCACACATGGTTGGACCTGAGTTCTGTCCTCCTCTAGATCTTCCAGCTTCATGTGGACCACTTTGGTAGGAGGGACTTTAGTGGCCCACTCCTGTCCTTTGTCCACAGCTAGTCTTGTGCAGTCAGACACTGTAGTGCTGGTCACCTCCTCCAACTTTCTCCGCAGCTCCTCCACCTGAAACAAAAGAACAATACACTTTGGTAATGGTTCATTCTGTCTTCAGTTTTAAACTTACATTTAGCTATTCTTTATGTCAGATAAACAAAGTAAAGATAAACAAACTCTTCTGTCTGACAAAATCGCTAATCACTAAGTAAAAAAAAAAAAACAAAAAAAACACATTACGTATAAAATGTGAAAATGGCTGTGTCTTCTATATACTTTAAACAGTAATACCACACCAATAAAAGCTTTCATTTGTAATTATTCTTTTAGGGGAAAGGGCCATTCTGAAACTTTTTCTTTCCCCATCAGCACAGTTTGCTTGGGGCCATCTTGGAGCAGGTCAGTTTGGTGCAGCTCCATCTCTCCCTCCTCCTTTGCTATGTAAGCAACTGACATCACCCAAGCATAACTCTGTTTTCTTAAGATAAAAAAAATAATACCTGATTTGTACTTTTAAACATAAGGCTGATCTCAGCAATTAACAAAATGTTTATGGTGCTGTGAGACATGAACACAAAACTACTTGTGGTTTATTGTCAGCTTTTCTGCAGTTATTTCTCTTCTTTGGACTTTTACTCTACATTTTAACATCTTTTAATGTAATGCTTTGGGTTTGACTCATGTTCAGTGCCTATGAAGTGCAAATATATATTTTATCTTGACTTGAGTGCCATGCACTGAGAAACAGGAAACTGGTTTTAGATTCTAGTCTAGTCCTGATGTAGATGATATTTGCTTCTGTTCTATTCCTGGTTTAGTGCCGTCTGGGCCAGATTTAGTGCCAGTCTTGATGTAAACTCAAATGAAGTTTGATGTGGTACATGACATTTGGATGCTTTTTAATATAGACATAATATTTGGTTGGATTTGTTTTTTGTGCAGAGCAAAAAGTGATGGTTCTGCAATATGTGGTGCAGGTTCTGACCTGTAGTTGTAGCTGACAGCAGTGGGCCTCCTCCTTCTTGAGTCGTGATCTGAGCTGCTCTCTCTCTGTGTCAAACTCGGCCAGCTGCTCCTCCACCCGGGCCTCCATCCTCAGAGCCTTCCTGCGCTCCTCCTCTAGCTCCCTCTTCAGGCTGTGACAGGACTCGCGCTCCTGGAGCACAACCAAATATGGCTTTAATGACACAATAGCTTTAAATTGGATTAGGATAAGATTCAACTATATTGGTTTTCTTTAGCCAGTTGATTAAGACTTAAAGACTTAAAACTAACTCTTGTTAAGCCATATATTGTTACCTCATCAAAAACATACCTGGAGTTGTGTTTTGTTTCATTTACACATGTTTGAGTAATCCTTTATTATTAGTTTGTCTACATCTCCAAAACTGAAAATGCAGGGTTTGTGTGTTTAACATATGTGAATGAAATAAAACACAACTCCATGTATGTTTTTGATGAGCTAACAACATTATATTGTAGATCAGAAATAGCATTTAATACTAAAAAGAACATAAAAATTCAGACTGCCGTAAATTAAAAAATAAGTTGCATTAGTTACATAAGTTACATTGTTTTAGAAGTGTGCAATACCTTGTCAAGTTTGCGGCTCGTCTCAGAGAGTCTGTGTCCCTCCTCCAGAGCTCTGGCACTGGCCCATTTACACTCTTTGGCCAAAGCACAGGAGAGCTGTTTATGCTGCGCCCTCTCCTCCTCCAGCTGCTCTGTGAGACGCCTCTGCTCCTTCTCCAGCCTCCTCACCTGACTGCGCTCAAACTCCAACTGAGAGGGACACACAAGGACAGCAAAATATGTGAAAATTACGCTGGAAATGTTCATAGTCTAGGGCTGGACACTGCAAGGTTCTTCATGCTTCAATACAATAGAAGATACATGGCTCACGATACAATATTAGTGTATAATTATATTGCATTAAATAGTTTCCTTCCACTACATAAGCAACAAAATTGTAGTGTGGTCACAAAAAATAGCTCAAAGATAACAAACTCTTGCCAATAAATCAAAACAGTAGCCCACAATAACAATACTATATTGTAGATACTGTGTACCAAATTTAGAATCACTATATATCTATATTTTTGCACACACCTACTTTTTTCTGTTGTAAATAAACACTACTGACGAAAATCAGAAATTGTTGATTCCTTTCAGTATTTTGATCAGATTATTTTGCTGTCTTTTTACATGTGTTTTAGAGTCTGTTTAGTTCAGATAATGATTATGGTTATCAAATTAGGACAGATTTTTTTCTTTTTTTAGTCAACTAGTCACGATTTGTCAATTGATCGTTGCAGCTCTAGTATCCCCGTAGTAAGGACATTTTGCTTTAAATCTGTCACAGTTCTTTTACCTGCTGCTGTAAACGCTCTCTTTCTTTTTCTAAAATGTAGGTCACGTCATCTCCCTCGGCTGTGTCCTCAGCGTGCCTCCTCTTCTCCTCTTCCAGATCTGCAATAACCTGGAACAGACACAAGGGGGAGACAGAGAGATATGTAAACTCACTTAATCTATGCCAGAAGGGAAATTATAAGTTTGTGTCTATTTCAATTTTAAGATGAACAGTAATTATGCAAATGTGTGTCTTAGCTGCACATGGGAACCTATAAAATTAAGTCCAAGAAAAGTCTACAGGAACCAAAAAACTAATCTATAAATGATTTTTTGCTCTTTTGAGTGTTTTCCTGTACATCAAATGTCATGTTGCCCGTAAAATTCTACTATTTCAGTAGTATAATTCTCATTTTAATAGATATCAAATTTAAAAAAAACATAAATAGGACAAAACTGAGCTTTCCTGAATAATGTAAGAATAGTCTAAGTATGTTTCATTGTTTTAGAAATGGCAGAACGAAACAGTACTTTTTTCTTTGTACTAGGGTGGAGAATATTTTTGTAACTCATTGTACTTTGATAAGATTTGAGCTGCAGAGGGTTGAATAACTAACTTCTGTTATTACAAAAACAAACTAACTACTAGTATTACAGAGTGTTCCATTCTGCTATTTATTTATTGCAGTTCATGTTTTAACAATATTGTACATTTATCTTTTTCAGACCTTTTCCTTAGCTAAGTTTCAAATGGTACACTAAATCTAAATTTTGCTATTAAACGGTGTATTTGGTGTTTGAATAGCATTTTCTACTGCTCCTAAACCCCTTTTTGGCAATGTTAATGTAATCTAGGTAAATTTGCAGCTTTGACACAAATTGAGTGTTCTGGCTCCAGTGGCTGTTACAATATCAAGTACTACATGACATCACACATGACTGCCCAGATTACAGCCAGATGTTTCTGATTTCAAACAGCTGGCTGCAGGGGCGGAGTCTGAAGTGTGGATACACATTAGACCAATCACACTGTTCCCAGACCCTGCCCCTCTTCCACCCTTACTCCTTTCTTTAGTATTCCAGGTACAACGTTTGCAATGTGGCTGTGGGTGGAGTTCAGTGGACTGCGTTTAGTCCCACTTTAACATTTTAATATCATCACAACGCTGTGTACTCACCCTCCTGTGCCTGCTCTCGGCCGCTGCCAGCTGGGCCAGCATCTTGTCCTGCATCCTCCTGCAGTGGCTCACCACCAGTTTGAGCACCACCAGAGGGTTGGAGGTGGAGGAGGAATAGCCCTGGTCCCTCTGCTCCTTGTGCCCCCCCACCACCTCACTGTCTCTCTGCAGAGCCAAGAACGGGTCACTGAGGTTGTACCGACCATAGCGCTCCTGGACAAACAGATCCTTTCTCTGGGCCTGGGGCAAGAGCAAAACAACAAGGATTTATTAGAACATAAACTCTGTCTGGCACCATAGGCTGAAATGAGAATTGATGAAAAACAAAGAAGAAACAATACATAAATTGACAGATTATAAATGAACTCACAAAATACAAAATATCTTACAGGGTTGCTTGACTTTGTGTCTTTGTGTGACTTTGTCTTTCATTTATTTATTTTTTATTTGCAACGTTTAAGTGAAGACTGAAATATGAACTGATAAACAAGAATCTACAAGAATCTCAGAACAACTATAATTACACAGAAATAGAACATTAATGAAAACATACTTCGGAACATTGTCCATGGAGATATACATGTTTTATGCCATACTGTGGAGCATTATGCCAAAGGAATAATATTTCCACGGAGACAAGCAGGAGCAGGCCCTCAAAATAATAACAGAAATAACAGGAAGCTGAAACCCATGCATGAAAAGAAAATTGAGATTACAAAGTTTGATAATTATCTTTGACTCGCTCCAATTTCTGACAGTCCCATTGTGGCATTTTTGTGTATTATTATTTATGAAGTTTAAAGCAATAGAATCTAATTTTAAAAGTGCAAGTCTGTGCGCTTTCATTTAAGCAAATGCATCAAGTTCCTTCTGCTAAACATGATCAAACGTCCAAAAGGGTCAATAGATGAGCTGTGGATGAGGAATAGAAAAAAGGAAGAGGAAATACACCAAAGCAGATCTCAGTAACAAGCGGAAAGAGCTCCAGCTGTTGTGAGTCTGTCTGTACTTAACCACACACACAGCTGCTTTCAACTGGCCTGGACAGACCTGCTCACTGTCTGCACACAACACAGCACAGTGAAAGGGAAGAAGTCGAGAGGGAGAGAGAAGCTGAAGTAGAGTTCAGACTTCGGAAGGAAGAGGGGGAGACAGAGAGAGTGAGAGGGAGGGAGAGAGAGATACAGAGAGGATAAGAGAGAACGACAGAGACTTTGGATCAGAGTTCAGATATGGAGGAAGAAACTAGACAATTTTTCTGTATTAAATATCACTGATCATATTGACCACTTTAAGATAACTATACCTTAATCAACCAATCTTAATAAAGTTCATTGGTAATTAATAAATAGTTTAAGAATGATTCAGACTTAGTAACTTAACTAAGAGGTTAAGAGTATTCCGCTGTTTCAATTTTTGTGCACTTGCCAAAATCATGTGGAGCGGAAGAAAGATAGAAAGTTAGACAAAAAAAGAAACATTGAGAGACACAGAGAGAGAGACAGAGTGAGAGTGAAGGAGACAGAGAGAGAGACAGAGACACAGAGTGAGTAAGAGGGGTCACAAAAGCGGATAAAGAGATTAGACAGTGCAGTATCTTCAGTCAGAGCGCGAAGGACGGCTCACGGCTGATACGAGATTACTGTACAAGTTTAAAGTGCAGCTCAGAGAGGATCCATACAACATTATTGACCGCTTACGATGAGTAGATGGGCCATTAGACAAGTAGGTCCACACTCCAGTGCCATTCGTCAATAACAGCTCAAAAGAGCAAGTTTCTTCTCTATAAAAGAAGCCATCAGTCCTCTTCAACTTTTATAATGTTGTTTCCTCATCAAAAGCACACCTGGAGTTCTGTTCTGTTTTATTCACACATTCACATGTTTAACACACAAACCCTGCATTTTTAGGCTGAGTTCTTCTCTCAAACTGAAAACACCCTGCTCCACTTTGTGATGGCATGTGGTTATACAGGAAGTGCTCCATTGTGTTTTTAAAGTCCATACACCTTCACAAGAATTATGAATAATTTCAGTTCAGCCCTGGAATTGTCAATGTCTACTAAACAAAAGGGAGATGTTACCTTGAAAACTACTGCTTCATAATCACAAGGTGGAACAGGGTGTTTTGAGCATTGGAGATGTGGACAGACTAATAATAAAGTGGTACTGAAACATGTGTGAATGAAATAAAACACAGCTTCAGGTAAGTTTTTGATGAGGTAACAACATTCTAACATGACTTAAAGCTCCCAAGAGTCAATTGTGTGTAATATTGGACCTTTAATGAAAACAGATGCTGTACTCAAAAGTGTAATTTGAATTCTCAGCCCCTACACTACTTACCTATGATGAACTAAATAGTGATTGAATTTAACATCATTTAAATCAGTGGTCCCCATCCTTTTTTGCCAGAAGGGGTTGGGAGGGGGGGGACGAGGTATGGGAGGAGGCGCCGTGCACGGTATGTGCGGTATGGTTAAGTCCTGGCTAAATCCTGTTTTAGTTCTGGTTTTAGACCCGTTTTTAGACCTGTCTTTAGACCTGCTTTGGACCTGCTTTGGACCTGCTTTGGACCTGCTTTGGACCTGCTTTAGACCTGCTTTAGGCCTGTTTTAGACCTGTTTTAGACCTGTTTTTAGACCTGTTTTTAGACCTGTTTTTAGACCCGTTTTTAGACCCGTTTTAGATCTGTTTTTAGACCTATTTTAGACCTATTTTAGACCTATTTTAGACCTGTCTTTAGACCTGTTTTTAGACCTGTTTTTAGACTTGTTTTTAGACCTGTTTTTAGATCTGTTTTTAGACCCGATTTTAGACCTGTTTTTAGACCTGTTTTTAGACCCGTTTTTAGACCTGTTTTTAGATCTGTTTTTAGACCTATTTTAGACCTATTTTTAACCTGTTTTTAGACCTGTTTTTTAAACCTGTCTTTAGACCTGCTTTAGGCCTGTTTTAGGCCTGTTTTAGACCTGTTTTAAGACACGTTTTTAGATCTGTTTTAGACCTGTTTTTAGACCTGTCTTTAGACCTGCTTTGGATCTGCTTTGGACCTGCTTTGGACCTGTTTTAAGACCCGTTTTTAGATCTGTGTTAGACCTGTTTTTAGACCCATTTTAGACCTAGTTTAGACCTAGTTCAGACTTAGTTTAGACCTAGTTTTAGTTCTGGTTTAGTTTTGGTTTAGAGGCATCGCCCACGTGACCTACGGGAGGGGGGACGGTCTACGCTAATAAGGGAGTGAGGGACGGTACGCGCTACGTACGGGAGGGGGGTTCGTGCTTTCGTGGCCTGGTACCAAACAACTCACAGCTCGGAACCGGTCCCTGGCCCGGAGGTTGGGGTCCCCTGATTTAAATGCAATCACTATTGAATCTAAATAGTGAATTCACCTGTCTGGTTTATGTTTATCATTGAAAGTGTTAATACAGGAAGTTCTCCACTGTGTTTTTAAACTCCACACACTTTCACAAGAATCACCTAGATCATCTTAGCCCTGGAATTTCCATATCTCTACTGAACTTAAGGTAAAAGGAGCTGCTGAGTTGAAAACTACCACACACACACAAAGTGGAACAGAGCATTTTGATCTTTGCACAGATTGAGACAAGTGGATCTGACTACTTATGCAAGGTTCATCAAAGGAGACAATATTTACACTCAAAGCACGCACAGGTCGGCATCTCTGTGTTTTATAATTGAGACACATTTATTGAGTCATAAATAATTAAAAACCTGATGAAAACTTCACATGGTTCTGAAGGCAAATGACAGACTTTATCACTGTCATCCTGAGGCTAAGAGAGAGGAGGGCGTAGATGTGGAACTTGTACTGGTTTTGATGTGGTCTTTGGGGAGCAGGGGAGAGTCACATCAAACAGTCCAACAACAACAACAGAAATATATGACAAGCCCAAGAGGATTCACTCATGTCTGATGTAGTCTATTACACAACAGTGACTACGTGGGTGAAAAGTGTAACTAGGGAAGTCACAACATCACTTTTTTTTTTTTTTTTATGTTTTGCGAATATTTAGAAAAGGAACTGTATGTAAAATTCTATAAACATAACCAAACTGTCTCCAGATACAGGGTAATATTCAAAGCTTTTACAGATAACTTAATTACAAAAAAATAACATGACGGCTATAGAGATGCACCATTCCAGCTTTTTCACTTCCCATACCGATGTTGATATTTTGACTTAAAGTACCTGTCAAAAGCCAATATTAACCAACAGCAGTTTAGGGACAGAAAACGGCACTTTCCTACATAGTTAATTTATTCCACAAGAGATGTAACTGTTATTTATCCTTCACGTCATGACTGAACAGCTTCATATGGATTAAAGTTCAAACATTATGAGACGTTCTAAGCCAAAATCAGCCTGTAAATCATCTTATTACATACAATTAAAGACCCAACCAGGATACTGGCTTAACTGGAACTGATATTTCGACACCAGTATCAGTATCAGTGCATCCCTAGATGGCTAAAATATTCATGTTATACAAGACTACTAGTTTAACCCTCATAGAGCACCTGTATTGCTATTTTTTTTTAACTCTTTTATGACTTTATCTGACTTATTCATGTTATATTTGGGAGTTTTGACTGTGCTGCCCATATACAGAGAAGTAGAAAAAATATATATACATTATTTTGGTTTCAAATATTTCATGATATATTCAACATCCAGAAATACAACACTAATCAAGAATAATTTTAATAGTCATTGCTATAATGAGTTTGTAAACTTAAGAGCTGCACCAGCAAAGGCACCAAGTTGTTGAATACAATGTTCAACATGTTTACTGCCTCGCTCCTGTTTGTAATTTGTTATTTGTTTAACTTATAAAGAACTTTGCAGATCAATTACTTGAGACAGGTTAGTTAGAAGAGAGGGTGCAAATCAAGAATGTAAAGAAAAATCCCGTACACCGTCTTACTTGCTAAATATGAGATTTATAAAAAAAAATATTAAAACAAAGTGCAAAGTTTCAGCACTAGGCCTTCATCTGGCAAAAAAACCCCAAAAAACAGGGAAACTGGTGCTGAAACGTTGCACTGTTTGTCATAATAAATCTCACATTTTGCAAGTAAGACGTGTGTGGGATTTTTCTCCATGTTCTATCTAATTTGTTGAACTTGAAATCACCTTGCAACAGCATTTCAACCAAAATCACAATATTACAAATATTTTATATGTTTGAAAAACTTAGCTACTTTGTTATGCTAATC